AAAGATGTTAAAAATAGTGTAAATCAAGGATTGATGTGCCAATTAACTTATTCAGTTCTAGCAGCAGAAGCTGAGATTACAATTACAAGTGTCCAAAGGAGCAGAAGCTTTCATCATATTGAAATGAAAGTGTTTTCCAGTGGTGAACAAAAGGCAGGTATACCACAAAATGTAGCCATTTTTCACCAAAGAGGCAAAAACCCCAATGTTTTTGATTTTTCTCTGACCCAGCTCATTTCAGTGACAGCCTTTGTCTTTATAATTAATTTCAGCCTTTGATCAGTAATCCATAAGCTGAAGTCTCTCTACTGATGCCATCTTCAGTGCTGCTCTTCCCTTTTGCAAGTCTTTGCGATGTAGAGGAGTTGACTGATGAAAGCAATACTTTTTTTTTTCCTTCCCTGTTGAGCAACAAAGTGCTGCTTTCCTGGTGTCACATAACATGGCTCCAGCCCTAGTTGCTATTCTCTGGGGAAGAAGCTATATTCTCGCACAAATAAGAAACCTGACATAGATAAAAGTCTTGTGGTTAAAATATCCTCCCGCCACGTCTATATAATGTGTATATTTTTCTGCTCCAGGGAGGGATAAAAGCAGGTTGAAGCTGGGAGAAAGAGAACACAACTACCAATGAGCAGCGTATGAAGAAAAAGAAGTTCAAGGACTTAATTAATGTTTCAGGAAATTCAAGAATTCAAGGCACCTGTAGTTGTATGGTTAAGCCCTGAAGCTTCTGCAGGATATCCACCTTGATCTAAGAAAAGCTTACCTAAAGAAAGGAAATATAAAGTAAAATGCTGAGTCACAGCAATAGATTATTCATTTAGTTACTCTAATCATCAAAAGGGACTATTGCAAAATATGGAAACCGGTGTGGCCAGTTCTCAATAGCTGATCAGTCAGCCGTCCTTGGAAATACCAGCAGCAGCTTGCCTCCGCTATAGAGTCATTTTTACCTGTGGTTTCACAGCTGAGCTTGAAATCTCATAATAACATTTTAAGTAACTAATGGTCCTAGTGAGAATGTAAAATTCTGGGTATCTAGCTGGAAGTGGCAGAAAATTGTTGTGTTTGCAGTTAATATGAGCTTAACTATGCTGAGGTGGATTTTTTTTTTTGTGGCATAGATAATACCTTTTGCAGGTTTTCTTGAAAGAAATCCTACATAATAAGCTGTGTCTTTGCCAGAGGAAATGCTTTCAAGGAGATGGATAACTTGAGAAATATTTAATGTATGTAAAACATGTGTCTTGTACCAGTTAGAGTGCTGAAGCTGCCAAAGATGTGACTGAAGAGCAATATTGACAGAAGTTAATTTTAGCCTAGGGAGGCTCAAGTTTCTTCTTCCCCTGTTGTCCACCACCTTCTTTTTAGGGGGTAATTTCCAATGAAAGCCTAACTTTATGTGCCTTCAATTACCACCTGAAGCTCCTCTTCCAGTTCCTGCAGAAGGAATATGGGAAGGCTAACCCTATGAAGTTTAGTTTTAGTTTTTGCCACATAGATTTAAGAGTAAAATTTGGATTTGGCAGGAGTAGGAAGAGTGCAAGTACTTTTATTATAAGGTTTCAAAGTCATGAAGCCACTGTGATGGGGTTTGCTAGTGCTTGGGAGCAGTTTGCCTCTTACAGGTCACATCCAAGATTGCTTTCAGTTCTGAATATTCTAAAGTCATCAGGATGTAAAAGATAAAACTTTGTAACTGCATAAATGTGTTACTGTTTCCTCAAAGTTTCGCAAAAACCAGAAAAGGAAAGTATATATGTCTCCTGTACAATGTTTATTTGACTCAAAGTGAATTCTTGTAGTTAGAATTATCAGTGAAAGACCTGAATATTTTCTGGCCTTAATTTTTTGCTTAACCTTAGGGATACATCCTTCCTTAGCTTTTTTCCTTTTCACTTTTTGTTATGTCATAGTAGTAAATAAGTAAGTAGTAGTTCTCTCTGTACAAGACCGTTCATTTTGTTTGTGAATAAAGTATAGACATACCACTTAAGTTTTCCAGTATTAATCAACAATGCATGCAAACCTGGAGTTGTGCAGGTGTAAGAAAATCTCAAGCCGTAAGTAGAACAGATTTTGCAAACCAAAAATTTGTTTTGCTAGTGGTTGCAAGTGGTTGTACTTTCACAGGGGCTTATATCAGAATTCCTGTATGACTCTGAAGAGCAGAATTCTTTTGTGGACTTCTGGCTATGCTAGTACAATTCTGGGAATAAACCAGGTGTACCTAACACAGAATAAAGAGAGAAGTATATCATTCAGGATTGGGTAGATGAAATAGCAAGTTCACCTTTGAAAAAAGGTATGGTACACAAACTTTCTGAAAAGAAGTCCATGCTTTCTTGAAAGGCAGAGTCATTTCAAGCTCTGATACATATACTTTGCTGCATTTTTGCTTTGAACTTTGTTTGTAGGAATCTACTTCTAAATAATTATATGTGAATGCCTGAAGTTCTTTTGGATTATGATGACTCATTCACTGTGAATGTCATGACTAATGTAACTTTTCAGTTTATTTTAAAGAGAACAGAACAAATCCTGTTCAAAGATGTTTACAGATTTTCTTTTTCCTTCTCTGAGATTCAGATGTACAGTGTATGCACTGTACATCTCAAAACCTCTTCTTAGTCTTTTTGATCCAACTGATTCTGCTAGGGAATAAAAGATCTTATTTACTCAGTCACTCCTCTAATTTTGAATGTTTTTCTAGTTATATTAGTAGCCAGATGATTCACAGATCTGAGGAGGGAAACTGCTTTGATCCTCAAGTGTCTAATTGTCCGTTGTACCTTTTTAAAATTCTCACCATTAACTGGCATGCTTTCTGGTTTGAATGTCTGAGCTGAAATACTTTGCATTTGAGTTGTCCAGGTTGTTAAGTGTAAAAGTAATATCACTCCATTTATATTCCTACTTCCCTTGTCTCTGTGGAGCATTGATACTGCCCTAGACTTGGTAGAGGTTAAAAAAAAAGAGTGTAAAATATTGAAGCTACCATAGAGGACAGGGTTATTCTCTCTCTTTTGAGCAGGGACTAAAATGATGGTAGCCCATCTCTAAGGTAAATCCTCTGGCTCCACAACTGTCATCCCGCCTGTCCTTTCCAAGAGCCAGCAATATGGTAATGTGTACAGTGGAGCAGTATCACTGCAGGACAGTGAGGACATTCCACTGCTGAATACTTGGGAGCACATTGTGAGGACTGGGATAAGTGTCTGGTTTTTTGGTTGTTTTTTGTTTGGGTTTCGGTTTGGTGGGGGTGGGTTTGAGGGGGTTGTTTTGGTGGTTTTGTTGTTATGGGGCTTGGGGCTTTTTTTTTGGTTGGTTTGTTGGGTTTTTTTGTTTTGGTTTCATTTTTTGCAAAGGAGGAAATTATGAATTCCACTCTCCACTCCACCCTGTGCAGAGAAATGAATGCAGGGCGTCTCAAACGTTTTGTGCATGCCACAGCAAATGAGCATTGGGACTAGGCTGTTTTGTAAGTCTTGTGGGATCAAATCTTGGGATTTTAAAAGAAAATTGGTAAAGTTTGTGATCAGTTCTCTAAGTAAATCAAATTAATTCATTCCTAAATAGTTAAATTGGAAATAGGAATGTTAACAATTGCGAATTGTATTCATGATAGTTGTAGCCTGCTTTAGGAAACCAGGGGGTTTTATTTTAAACATATTACTAAATCAGTTACTAATTCTAGAAATATATTGTGTGTCAAAACACAATCAAAAAACACAAAAACATGAAAACAAGTGTGAAGAATATTTTAAATAGCAAGACAAGGGTGTGTGTTAAATTAAGACAGAAGTTAATTATATGCTCTTGGCAATTGATTTGACTTCTTCTACTGCCTAAAATCTGTACAGTTTATCCCAGAAAATCAAGTATCCTGGAACTATTTGGTCTGAGAACTCCATGGTGTGTTGTGTAATACAGTATAGGTATTTTGAGTGTCATATGATGATATTAAAAGAAGGCTCAAAATAGGTGTAATGTCAGATGTCACATTTATCATGTCTGGTGTGTGTTAGGACTTCATGACAGAGAATCTCAAGCTTGCTACCCTTGATAGCTTTTTTTCATGTTTGAGGAAAATATTTATTGCCATATATATCTGTGAAAGCAGTACCCTGCTACTACTTAAGACCAAAAGCATGAATATTCTTACTGCTGTCAAGTGTATGGTTTGGACTTAATTTTGAGACATCTTGGCAAACAAGGGTTTCTTAATGAGGAGTTGGCAAGAGGATTAAAAGACAGACTTCTGAAGTGTTAATAAGCTCCCACAAGGCTTGAAAAGCAGTTGAGGAAGAAAGAAAATGCTGAAGCCGAGTGGTTTGAGGCTGGTCATGATAGGCCAACCAGAAAAGGGAATCTTACCTCTTGATAGGTGCAAGAAGAGTTCAGTGGGGTGGGGATAGGCTGCGGGGCTCTGAATGTATTAGTGCAGTAGCCTGTGTTTGGTGTGGTGAAGCTGTCAGTGAAAGGAAAGAAAAGAAAGATGCCTTCCTGCAGTTTCTTTACCAAAAGATAAAATCGAGGAAAATTGTGTTCTTCAAAACCTGTGAGTGGGCTTTTCTCTCTGGTTTTGTAGAGCCCTTAGATGATGATTTCAAGTGACATATGGCTGATTGTGTTGTAGATGGCTGGCAGAAATCAAGTCAAACCGTGATTCTATGATCTGGCAGATCTCTGGTTGTGGAGATTCTGGCAAAATAATTTCAATGTCAATACTTAACTATTTCAATGTTTAGTAGAGAGAGCAGAAAGAAAGAGAATATCTCTGACTCTTATCGCTTACTTGGATAATATTTGGAACATTCTTTTTTCTCTCCTTTTACCTCTCAAATCATAGTCCCCACTCACCCCAACCAGAAAAAGGCACCAAAATAACTACAAAAAGCAATGTTGGAGATTTGGGCTCCCAGAAGAAATTCAACCACTGGACTTTTTGTCTCTTGACTTTTTCTTTGCTGTTTTGTTTTTGTTTCAGGCTACTATATTTGGCCTTTTTCCAAAGGAGTTTCCAATTACAGAAAGAGTTCTCTAACAAAGAATGTTTCCAGGGCAGCAGATGTTTCACTCATTACATAATACCGAGCATGGCTAACCTTTAAAGCTTTCAACTGGGGCAGTAAGTGCATTTTAGAAAGTACTTTTCTTGCTCTGAGAACTATGTTGTTATTATTATTGCTGTTAAATTTTCTCTTTCAAACTGTTTTCTTTGCAGTCCTTCGAGTAGTTGCCATCTTCTGTTATATGAAAGAATAGTTTGGGTACAACACTGATGAAACAAGATTAAACTGGTTTATTAGAGTGTAGCTGGACTGCTTGCTGATTATCATTCTTCCTGTCTCATATCTTTTCCATTTCTGTTTTCTGTCCTTGGCAATAGGACATAACTTACGGGTACCAAACTTGTCTTCATTGGTTCCAGCTGCTTCTCAAGACTGTGTAGGTCAGTTTGAGTTTTGGCCTCACATATCTATAAGTGCTCCAATTTTTATACCATTGGACAACTTGAAATTACTGTTAAATAGGAAAGCTTAAACTGTTGAATATTAATATGGTAGAAGTAGCCTGGATGCTCTGGAATAGGTTGGGTATTTCTTAGATTTAGGGGATTTTTTGTTTTGGTTTTGTGTTGGTGGTGGTTTTTGTTTGGTTGTTTTTTTCTGTTTGTTTTTGTTTGTGGGGTTTTCTTGTTTGGTTGTTTTTTGGGTTTTTTTATGGGTGGATGGAGATTTTTGTGGGTTTTTTTGCTCAACTTAGAATTTTTCTCAGGAGCAAATTTACAGACCCCTGAGTGTTCTGAATTACAGGGTCTATTCATGTAGTGATATTTTCAGCCATTTTTAATTCATAAGTAGCTATTAAACTTGCTATCACAAAACTTTTCTTCTGAAAGCTTTGTTGTGTTTGATACAGGCGTTTATATCATCAGATCATTGCCCCACTGTTTAGTAGCACTGGTATCTGGTTTTGCTGGCAATCATAAAGAAATCAGACAAAAAGCACAGTTCTATTTCTTAAGGCAGAACCTTAAATTGTTAGTATATTGCTTTTCCAACTAATTTTAATTGATTAAATATAAACCTGAAAATTTGTGGCTAGTTGCCTCACTTCCTTTGATAATCTTTGTATACAGGACAGAAAACATAGCAAATGCAAAGAAAATTCGAGGTTATGGGGAACAATAATGTATTTTGTTTAAGGCCAAAATGTTCTCCATTTTTGTAAAACATGAAAAGCTCTAAGACTTCTCAGCAGCAAAATTGATGTGTAAATGGCTAATCGTATATGATTGAGAAAACTAGTTATTTATTGCTATGTTTATTTGTCACTTATGACAATACTGGATTTGCAGAGTCAGTTTATTTCATCTCCACCTCTTCTTCCTGTGATGTGCACTTTTGCATCATCTCCAAGCAAATTGGAAAGGAAGTCTACGTTGGAAGAACACAGACACCTGTATCCCATTTTAAGAATGGTGTATTTTTTAGTGGCTCTCATGGAAATGTTGGTAACAAGTTGCCAATAACAGACACCAAATACCTGTCCAGGTTTTTAAAAGTGATGGTTGTCTTTGATTGTTGTAGGAGTAACATGTAAAGTGTGAAAAAACATCTTTGCATTTCCTACCTGTGGTGTTCTAGGCTTTGGTATTTGGATTCTAACTATGGTAATTTGAAAGATTTATTTATTTAATCAATTTCTATAATACAGGGTTTTTTTTAAGTATTAACTCTATTAAGCGTATTAAATGTATTTGACATGCCAAAAGCTTAATGCAGAAGTGATTTTGTTCTCAAACATTCACAGTCTGCAGGACTTTGCTGCTCTGAGTACTGTTTTTTGTACAGGTAGAGGGGAAAAAAAAGCTCTTCTGTGTCATCAGATTTTTTCCAGGCTTGGTGCCTGTGCTTCCATGAAAACTGCTTGCTTGAGGTGATTTGCTGTTCTGCTTCCTACTGTAGTGGCCTGATCTGTTTGTAGTCTTTTAGAAAACTTTACCATCAAGCCCGGTCACATGCATTTTATGCTTGATTTTAGTGTTCATATGCAGTCAGAAAACAATCAGGTGCACAGACAGCAGCTGCAGAGTCAACATTTTTTTTCTTTGCATATGTTCAAATTTGTGACAATTTAGCTATCTCATGCAAAAAGCTGGTCTAGATTATTTTCAGTACCAGACCTTGATACAGGTTATTTTCTGGATGACATTCAATTAACTCAGTCCTAAGTCATTCTGTAGGAATGCTTCATTAAAATGTAATTGGCAAGCTTTTTTATCCTTGTCCTTAAGTTTTTTTTTCCATGTTAGAAGCCTCTATAGGATAATCACCATGTAGGTTGTAATATATTTGAGTCGTGCAGTTACAATATTCTCAAATTTTTTACTTGAAACTTGCTAGGAAGAAATGGTCCTGTATTTGCATATTTGCGTGTTCAGACTGAAATGTGGGTGACATCCAGCCATTCTTGTTCCACAGCTGGTTGTGTTGAGACAGGTAGAGGGTGGGCCGTGCATCTGTGAAGTTATTTTTGCAATTCTGTTTTTTCTAACACTCATATAATTTAGTCAAGTTACTGTAACTGTTACTTTGTTTAATAACTTTCATTATAATCTGATACACAGTCCAAAAAAGGAAGTCTTTAAAAACATTTCTAGTAATTTTTTCTCATGCTATTGACTGACTGGCTAATAATTTGTGGACTTTTTTTTTTATTTTAACCCTTTACAGTGCTAATGGTAAGGTGGAAGTAATGTTACCTTACCTTGGCTTTTGTTATGGTGCGTGAATGTGTGTGTGTATATGAACACACTTTATATTCTTACACATTGTAAAATGTGCTTCAGAGAACTTACTTAGAGATATGTCTACGGGACTTCTCTGTGTGCTGCAAGTGCCATTTTAAGTGTTTCATAACTTCCTTGCTCACTAATTCCTCCTGAACTCACTTAACTTTGTGGGACAGTCTAGTTTATAACGTTCCATTCTGTTGTAATTTCAAGTTATCCTTAATGTGCATGCCAGTCTGATTTTTGCTGTGAAAGTGACATGGGTAAGCTGAAGTTGCACAATAGAAATGGGTTTGCTTAAAAGTGAGTGTGATATGGACAAGCACAGTGATGTGAGCAGTAGCAGTGAAAGGTGTGCTGAAACAGACAAGCAACTGGAGTGCCAGCTGCAGTAGGTTCTGGTTGTTAAATGGTGATAGTGGGGACTGTTTGCACTTGCTGTGTACATTTAAGCACTTGCTGTGTACATTTAAGCCTGTGTGGGTACATGAGAGTGCTAGAAACATAACTGTATTTCGTGTCTGGAAAAAAACCCCACCAAACAAAACAGTATATAAAATTTTGTTTGCCAAGTATAGACTATAGTTGCATTCCTTACTGCTTTTCAGAGTGATTTTACCTATCAACTTCCTGGTCTTGAAATCCATTTAAACAGACACAAAACTTGAAGCAACTAGAACAAGAACAATCATGCAGATTTATTGAATACAGTTAGCATTGAGAACCACCTTCACTGTGTTCTTTCTGTTGCTGTGGAATACAGCCAGAAAGAGTTGTAAAAGAAAGCCAAAGGAAGCACTATTGTTGATGTGTTTCAGTAATGTGAAGTTTTAAAAAATCATACTCACAGTATTAATATTAACCACTATATACAGTAATACAGCCCTTTAGCATTTGTATTTCATTTGATTTTTATGAGCAGTCCTAGAGACAAGTTTTTAGTGTCTAAATTCTCACTGCTGATCCAACTTGCTACATTCAGGCCTTCAGGTTCTACTTTCTCTTGCTCCACATGATTAAACTTAATTGTTCTGATTTAGGATCACCTTCTACAAAAATTGGTTGTTTTTTATCATCTGTCATCATCTGTTTCTTGCCACCAGCTCTGTCATGTTGTTATCTTTATCACTGTTGTGAAATTCGACATGGAGATTTTTTTTTACTAAGGCCTGCAGGGATGTCACTTCCCTGGAAGTGTTCAAGACCACTTTGGATGGGGCTGTGAGCAGCCTGGTCTAATGGAAGTTGTCCTGCCCATGGCAGGGAAGTTGGAATTAGATGATGTATAAGATCAATCTGCTCCCAACCCATATAATTTTGTGGTTCCGGTATTTGAAATGTGTGCAGAAGAAAGAGTGACAAGCTGAAGGCTTAATGCAGCCTATCTGTATCTCTTTGCTGGGTATGACAGTGATTTAACTTCTTCAAATTGAACTTCTTCACATATATTTAAAGGCAATTACAAATCTTGTTTGATTTTTTTTTTCTCTTTTCAGCTTGAACAGATAGCTGATACTGTTTATCTCAAGAAATATCTCTTGCTTGTTACTTACTGTCTGAGGTGTATGTGCATACTATGTAATACATTTTATGTGTTTTAAGGCACACTTCCAAATTCACTGGTTAAAAGAAATTCTGGTAGTTTTGTTATTAAATAAAGATTTAACTGGCATCAATGAAGATTCTTTTATACAAAGGAGAAACATAGTGTTCTTCCCATTCCTTCACAAATAGTACTATTTAATCTCAATACAAGATAAACAATGGTCTGTGTGAATAAAGAATATCTCCCTTCTTTAGCACTCCAGGGAAAGTTTCTGTATTTTCAGAGTCTGTATATCCTTTTTCTCTTCTCCTAAATTCATTGGAAATAATGGAGAAAGTTGCCTCTATAAAGACTTGGTCAGACAGCTGTATTTCTGTATCAAGGAGTGAGGTGCCTGTGATAGTCATTGTGTTGTCTGTGAAGTTTTGCCTAGGGCTGTGGTTGAGAAACATAGTAATGCTTCTCTCTTACACAGATTGTAGCCAGTAAGTTTTCCTAGTCGTGTAGGTGGCCTCCTAGTGCACTGTCTTCTATCTGTCCAGTAATGTCTTTCTCTCTTAAATAATCTTAGTGAATTCAATGTTTTGAGGGGTCTTTAGATCAGTTCATTTTAAAAGTAAATGTCAGAGCAGAGTGCATATGCATTTTTTTACCTTCTTTACTGCCAATAGCAGTAGTATAAGTAGTAGCAGTAGAAGTATAATTCACTTGCTAAGTTAAATATTTGTACAGAAGTCCTGAGTTAATTTTAACATCTGCCTTGCTTAAAATTCTAACTGTGGAGGCTGTTTACAAAATGGATGTTTCAACCCCAGTGAACAAAAAGTGCTGAAGTTATTCTTCAGTCTGGAATAAAACTCATTTCCTGTGCAGTCTGGTTACAAAAATATTTCTAGTTATGAAGGAAAGAACTCATCTTTCTAAGTTCTTCAGTCATTTGTGTATGCATATTACAGGCTTCCACACAGCAAGTACTTTTTAAGTAGTAGTTTCCAGACATTGTAGTTTGTGGGTGATGCCAGTATGCGAAAGAAGATGCAAGTTTAATAAATTGCAGTGTCATGTGTTGGCCATTAATCACTTGAAAATGTTACTATCTTTTCAGGTAGTAGAGTGCGCACTGAAGTGGAAATACAAGACTTTTAAGACCAGCTTGATTCTTCTGAGTAAAGCTATCCTAGTTGGCCTCCTGAGCCTTGTGCTGGGTTTTCTTGAGAACACATAAGTCTAGCATTCCAGTTAGGAGTGGACTGAAAAAATTCTCCTTGATATCCACACACACTCTAGACGTAAGTTTATTTTGTTGGTTTTGTGTGTCAAGATAATTATCAGATTGGTGTTGTAACAAAAACTTTCCCTTGGCTGCTTATGTACAGTTTTATTGCCCTGTATTAGGAGTGGCAATAGTGATTACATGGACTATACCTTTAGTTGCAAAAGAGAGCAGTTTTTATTCTTCCAGATCTTCTTTTATAGACAGTTCTGAGAAAGTCCATATAGACAGTTCTGAGAAAGTCCAAAAAGGTGAAGCTTTCAATGGTCATCAAACCAACACATCACCATCATTGGACAGTTAGGAACAACACCCCTTGACTGTTTCTTGCAAGAAAACAACAAGGTGACAAACGACACCTGCAAAGGTTGTTTTCCTTCTCTAAGGACTGTTTGGATTCCTCCTTATGATTTCTCAGGCCAGAGTGAGAAGATTGTGTACTTGACTTTCCCATAGGCTCGAGCTAGTGCCTGAAGCCTAAAAGTCTCTTATTTGACCACTGTCTGTTCCCACACAGTTTCACAAATCTTATGCTTCCTTTTCTTTAGGACACTTTTCTTGTCAAAAACTGCATTTAACTGTACCCTTTTTTGGTAGACTTATGCTGACTTTCTAGTCTAATTTTAAAGGATAATTTGACACTTGACACCTTTACAGAAACTAACTGGACCTTTAGATCCTTTTCACTAAGGCAATTTCCCTATGAAACCTCTCCTTAAGAAAGGTCGGTGACCTTTTTGAAGATAATAGCAACTGAACTTATTATTTTTGCTAGAACTTCATGAAAAATTACAAAATTGCATTTTGATTGTGAGAAAGACCATTACGTTCTTAAAGCAGCCTTAAGTGAACTGTGGGAGAGAACACTTTGTCATGTTTCTGGCATTTAGCATTAAAAAGATGTTATTTTCTTCACTGCTGCATATTTTTGATGAACAAATCTCATCTTAGGCTACATGTACTAAGTGCCTTAAAGTGTGGTCTGTGCTGGCTGGCTTTATTTTTCATCTACAAAACTAATTACTGCCCATGGGAATTCCTTCTAGAAAAACATGGGGGGCTGGGGGGTCGTAGTTAAAAGTGTATCTTTTATTCTGAATACTTTTTTCTTTTTTTTTCCCTTCCTTTATTTAAAAAAAGTAGTTCTGCTCCTAAACTGCTCACAGCAAACTTTCCTATTGTGGACTATGAATAAATTGGAAAACTAACTTCACTTGAAAAGTTTTTTCATAACGTGTGTGGGTCCACATGGACATTGAGTTTGCAATGCCTCAAACAGCATTTCTCATGTTCTTAAAAAGGAATTCCCAATTTTTTTTCAGCTTATTTGGCTTAAAATGGAGTATCTTTGTAGCCTTCAAAAACAAAATCTTTCATGGAATTAGTATATTTACCTTTTTTTTCAACAAATCCTGCATTGCCATTGTCCAGCATAAAGACAGCAGTTTTTAATTTTAGAAATTTTTTTTGCATTTAGATTTTTTCCTGCAAGGAAACACACTATTGTGTGTTATAATAGAAATCCCAATATTTTTCTACATGTTGAGGTTTTCTCTTAGTCTTGTGATGTACAGAACTGTGCTCATAGAAAATGGAGGGAGGACAGTAGCTTTTGAAGCTCTTCTTGGGAAAAGTTGCTTTGATAAAACTTAGAATAGATGGGCTCTTAGAAGAATGTTTGTTCCTTTGTCTGCTAAGAGGAGCAGTGTTCATACTTGTTCTTGTATGAGTCATCACAAAAATAATGGAAAATAATAGTGGATTCGTCTTGTTCCCCACAAATCCTATGGGATTTCTTTTTCCTGCAGTTCAGAAGGCAGAGTGTCTTTGGACTTGACAAATTCTGCTGTTTCTATTTGTTTTGGTGGCTATCTGCTAATTCTTTTTCTATTTATGTTTCTAAAATTGTTGCATTAGTGAAGATCACTATGGCTTAATTAAGAGCTATTACCTTCATGTCTCTTTTGAGTGATTGTGTTTCCTTAAGTCTTTCTGAAACTGGAGAACAAATTCCTGAAGAGCTGACTTATAGTGCTTATTCAAAACCTTACTTATCCTTGTGGAAAAGGAGCTGTTTTGAGAGACTCGGAACATTTTGAAAAACTCACTAAATGTTGTGCTGACATACAAAGCTTTTGTGCCAAGTATCTCAGCTGAATCGTCTGGTGACTGACTTTTGCCTGCCACATATTACACAGAGTTTCTATGAGATAAAACATAGCCATGGCTAAGAGAAAAGTGTAATGTACACAAGGAGATACAAGTGTATGCTCCCTAGCAACTAGTTGCTACAGTTTTATTGATCCTCACTGATAAAAATTTAGTCATGGATTCTCTTCATTTGCATTCTAACTTTCCAAATCTTAGTATTGACTTTTTCAGGTACTTTTAAATTTTCCTCTTTCTGTTTTCCCAGGAAAATTAAGTTCTCCCTTTAAAGCATATTTGAGGATAACATTAGTGCAATTCCAGGAACTTGAGCTGTGATTAAAAATATAAACTCAAGTGAGGTTTTTGACATTTGCTGTTATTATTACTGTTTGTTTTTTTTCCCTGCTCTGTGTGCTAAAAGTCAATGTAGGCCATGATTTTAATGTTGCAATGAGAGAACAAGATACTGAGCTGTATGAATGTTAATAAAAAGCTGCAATATTTTACAAAGGTTTTATGTTAAAATAAATAAAAAACTATAGGATGCCAAACAATTTTGCTATTTTTGTCAGCTTTTTCCACTAATTTGATTTCAACTTAAATGGTGTTTTATAGATTGCAAGATATTCTAGCCCAGGACTTTCTTTTAAGAGGAGCAGAGAGTGGATGGTTTATTTCTTTTTTTTTTATTTTTATAATTCTGTGAACAGTTCCAAGCATTGGAGAGGCAAACTGAAACACATTAGACTTCTCAGTTTTATGATTAATTCAGAGTAAGTCAGTGCTGCTACTGAAAGGGTCATACTGCTGCTGCTTTTGTGCTGACACAGGCAATCACTGGAGAACCGCTCTGGTTAAACACTAAGTCTCTGCCAGGTTAGCATTCAGCCAGAGCAGTTTCTTGTTCCAGTTCATTATGCGGTTGCACAAACTATAGTTCCGGACAGAAGTGAAGGTGGAAACGAGCAGTGGCAGTGTGAGAAGGGACCTTTTAACTGAAGACCTAGAGATGAAGTTGAAACCACTCCCCCTGTGTTTCTTGCTGACTTGCTTAGCTGTAAGACATTTTATTGCTGATTTTGTGCCTTTTATGACAGCAGTAGTAAACTGGGGCAAGTTTTGTACCTAAAGGTGACAGGAGCTTCACGGGTAGCTATGGCTCTGGAGTAATTTCCTTGTTCTTCAGGAGACTTAGGCACCTGAAGAACAAGGAAATTATGACCTGACAAATTGAATAAACCTTTTATTGTTCCTGTTGATATGGCATCCACATGTTTCAGGCATAAATACGGTCACGTTAATAGCCATGTCCCATGGCTTTCTCCTTTGCAAGGGAGCCAAACTCTTCTGTGTCTCCTTATGGATTGTCCTCCAAAGATGTTAGCCAAAGTGCTCAGAGAACATTGTAGTGACAGTGAAAAATATTATGGAAAAATATTTTAAGGGGTGTAGATACATCACCTTTCAGGTGTGAAGGGATTTGTAAAGTTATTTCAATGTAAGAAAATAAAAACTGTAGTTGGAATACAGAAATACAACACTTTGATCTCATGCTACAGTAGCTTGCAATATTGTGTTTGGCACCCAAGTTGTAAAATCTTATGCTAAAATTTCGTAGTAAATATGCAGTATGGATAACTGATTTTTGCCTCAGATGAGTATTTATTTGATAATTAAGTGTATTACTACACTTAACTATCAAAAGTCTTAGAAGTCTTGGGTACTGTGAAGATCAAAAATGACTCTTGAATATGATGTCAGTAAGAAAGAGCAGAATAAGAACAGGACCATACATCAGGTTGCAGGGAACAAGATTTTACTGCCTTCACAAAATCACCTTTCTTTCAGCGGAAGCCAGTGTTTCTGCAGTCACCAGACTTGGGCATTCTGAACACAAGATACTTCTCAGTATTGGTGCACTAATTATTTTGGTGGTAATACCCATGAACCACTGCTCCTTGGTAGGTGGGACCTTGGCAGCTGTGGCAGTCTTGTTTTTAAAGATGGGAACCAGACTTACTCATTAGCTTTTTATATGGGATTCACAGAAATCTGGTGATGGAAACACGGAGATCAAGAAGAATGTCATACTTAGCTTCCTGAAGAGGTATAACAGTATTCAGGTTCATTGCTTGACTGCTGCTGTTTAAATATGTCTTAGTCATCTTGTAAAAATAAATGATTTAATGAGATTTGGGTACTTGAAATTGTAGTTGAGGTACTTGAGCATGGGCTGGCAGCTAGGTTTGTTCTTAATAGAAACTTAGGTTTCACTGCTTTAACATCATATGCTTGGTGAACAACTCTTTCCAGGTCTGGAATGTGCAGCTGAGCAGTGATGTGTACTGCCTGATCAGCTGATGAAATGTGGGTTTGGATGTGTGATCTGTGTAAATGACTTCCAGATGTTATAGTTGCCAGCTGAATGTCTCAAGATTGCACTGTTAGGTTTATGTTATAAAGCAAAATAGATGAATTATGCGGAAGATAAAGTAGTGAGCCAGTACTTGCAATTGTTCTTTCTCTGTCAAAAAAACAAAACAAACAGACAACATGATTCTATGGTCAAATTCCTCACAAACAATGGCAGAAAAATATGGATGGTTTTAGATTGGGATACCTACATCAGCATGTAGCCTGTGAAGCTCTTGGACAGTCTGATAGATAACATGACCAATTTTCTGTGTAGCTGCTGTCTTAAGAGCTTTGAGTTATCCTGTATCTCACTTAAACTTCCTTGTGCTAAAACATTACTGCTGTGGTGCTAGAACTGAAATCTGATTTTCCATGGTGTCATTCAGGATCTTTTTTGTGCAGCAAAAGTCAAAGTTTGTTTTGCAATTTCCATAGAATTTTCATGAACTCTGTATATAGGAATTTTTCTCTTTGCAAAAGTTTTTTTCAGAAGTTCTACATCCTCATAGTTGTAGAGAGAAGGGTTTGAGCTTTAAAGCAGTGTTTGATTTCTCTCTCTTTCTTTTTCCCCAGGAAATACTGACATAACCATGATAGAAGACAAAGGTCCACGAGTGGCTGACTATTTCGTAGTGGCAGGGCTCACTGATACAGACACGGCAACCCTCCTGGACCAAGAAATCAGCCGACATGAAACTAAGTCAACCGGTCCCAAGGCTCCAATTACTGACATTGCTGTGATAATTAAATCAGCTGGTGAAACTGTCCCAGAGGGATATACCTGTATCGAGGCCACCCCTACAGCCCTCCAAGCCAACTTAAACTATGGAAGTCTAAAAAGTCCTGAACTATTTCTTTGCTACAAGAGAGGCCGGGACAAACCACCCCTTACTGACATAGGGTGAGATTTCTATTGCAATTCAGTTCCTCCTTCAATAATGGTAAAATCTTATTCTTCATAGATGATGGTGAAAACAGATGTGAGAAAACTTCTTAAAAAGTCCTGTTTGAATCTGTATTGCTTATTGTGTGTTTCTGTATAGAATACATCAAACAAAGAGTCAGTCTTCTAGTGAACTTGTCTTTTTAAAATTAACAATAATGTTTTAGTTTAAAAGCTGGGAGAGAGAGAGGAGAAGCTGATAAAATATGAGAAATTAAGTACTCTGCTGCAGTTTTATAAAAGATGATAGAAAAACACAGAATTAATTTATAGAAAAAACCTAGTCCAAATCCAGAAACATTAACATACTTGATCTGAAAATTATGACTTCAGAAGATGCTTGTGGTAAAAGATAAAATTTAAAAATAAATAAGGACATTGTAGAACTAATTACTGTAGAAAATAGAGCTTGGTTGTGGGGTGCTGTTATAACTATGGCAAAATAAAGAATGTGTATTTTTCTCCCTACTTAATTATTAAGTAAATGGTAGGGAGTAAAAATCGTGCATCTATATATATGCTGTAATACTTTTAGTTATTTTCATTTATAAGCTTAAATGCTTGGGCATGAGGCCTACATACCCTGGTTTTGACCTACGATTTGCGTGCTTACTGGGAAAGAGTGTCCACTCAGGGGGAGAGAGATAGTGAAATCTGAGTAATGAAAGCAGCTTCATGGCAAGACAGTTCACTCTTAAGGGTTATATTCAAGCTGTATAATTAAGCTAGCACATTCTAAGTTCTGTTCGTCTTCATCATCTAATCTGCATTCCAGTGGTCTTCAGTGAAACTAATTTTTAACATAATCTTTTCCCATGTGTGTGACTGGCACCACAAGAAGAGACACTACAGTGTGAAGTTATATTTTGACTAATTTGTTAAACTTCATTAAGTTCTTACAAAAGGGAGAATTTCTACAGGGAGTGTTTTCTCAAAGGAATTCCTGAAAAATCAGCCTTCAGCATGTGCCTTTAAGGAAGCAACTTGGTTAGCATATGTTTACTTCATGTCTCCCACAACCTTAGGAACTTGAATGCCTGGGGAGATTTTGTAAACAAAATAGGCAAGTCGTTGGCTAAGATGATTGCATTTGGAAAATAGTATTTATTTTGTATTTTGTTGTAGACAGATCTAGTTAGGGTGTCACACCTAACACATCATGGCAGTCTTTTCTCTCTGAGCAATGATGCATATTCTCCCCCTGCTGTTTGTCCTGCTTTGCAACTATGTGCAAGAGATGGTTAGAGCAATCTTTTCTCTTTGTGTTTTTTTGGGTTTTTTTTTTCTGTGAATTCCATTGTGTTCATACAAAAGCAGAGCTCAGGCAAGACATGTATATACAGTCTGAAGGTAAATTTATGCTGTTTTCTATTATTTTAATAAAGAACTAGTGTGAAATGATATTTTACTTCTGAGCCTGTCTGACATGCTGAGTGAACTCAGTATGTACAGGAAGAGTACATCCCTTGAAAGGGTGAAATGTGTAACTCTTATGTCAGGCTTGTTAGTGTATGCATAAAATTGTTACGTCATAGTCGGAGCATTCAAGGAGCATTCATTGATGAATGTTTGTGTCTGTCTGTGTATTTCTTTCAGTGTTGTTTTTAGGGAAAGTAGTTAAATGCTGTTTGGTGAAGAGGAAGATAGGTGTGTGCTCTACTGTTTGTCTGCCACTGTCCTTGTGATTGGTATTTCTGTGCCCTCCAGCCTCATTCCTTTCTACTTGTCCACTGCTTGTTGAATCAAAGTGTCTGTAAGTTGCTAGAGTGAATTCCTGCTGCAGTTACTTACTTGCATATAGTTAGGCCCTGTGTCATGCTTTTGGATGTTACATTTCCCAGAATGAATCAGATTAATTAGTTGGAAAAAAGATTAGTTGGAAAAATAAAGGTTTATTCCTAGGATAAAAGATCCCTGAGATCCTTTTCCTACATGTAGCTTTAAAATTTAGTACCTTAAGCTTGTATGTCTATGAAATAATTCAGTCATTCTGTTGCTTTCCTAGCCAGTTTTTTTGGTGATGTTCCAGAAACAGACAAGAACTGAGACTTGAGGTCTGTCTTGGTTTGGGTGTAGCGAGACTTTCAAACAAAATCTCACCTCTTTGTTTTACACTTCACTTAGGAACCTGTTAGAGCTCCAGCACATCTTTCTTACATGGAAGAAAAACCTGACAGAAAAATGTTTTTTGTAAAGTACAAGTGGTTTTGTAATTCATAACACATAGTATAGAAAAGAAAGAATATGAGACTTCTTGTCTGAAGCAGAGATTCTTGTAATTCTGATTTTTTTTTTAACATGGTATGGGAGGCTTTAATTTGCTTAGGGTGTCTGTGCTAAGGACCCTTGTGATTCTATACACCTGATTTCTGCAAGTGTCTGCAGGCATATGAATTAACAAATGATCCTCTTCATCAGAGATGTATTTCGAAAAAGAAAATGAACTCAAATTTCAAGAAGGGTAATAGAAACTGGAAGATGTTCTTAACAGCCAGCATCTTCAATTGTTCTTTAATCCCACCACTGTGACAACTGCAGCTGAATGTTTAGGGCAGCATAGGGTAATAATGATGTAACTAGTAACTTGCTTGTTCAGACAAATAATATTAGAGATGGCAGTAGAAATAAAAGATAAATCAGTCTATAAGTCTTTTCCATTTGCTTGATCCACCACTTTCCTAAGCTTACAATATTTATATAAATTTCTTTATTATTCAGTTCTTGCAAAATGAGAGAGGAAGAGATGTTACAAAGACACATTTTGCCTAAGAGCTGTGAGAGACAGAACTGTGTTTGGACCTAGAGAAGGAGGAGTGAAACTGGACAGCAGTCTTAGACAAATGCAAGTCACAAAAGTCTGGCTGTTTTGAAATGGTTTTCCAGAAGCAAAGTTTTCTGTGGTTTAAGGTTTTTAGCTCAACAGCTACAGATTGTATTTCTTCTTTCTAAACTCTGTTACCTGATGCATTGAAGTATACTTTTAAATCAGTAAAACTGGGCGTGAGAGAACTTGCACATGCAATGCCAAACAGTCTTACAATGAGAAGATAAGGTTCTTTTGGTCTTTCTTGAAAAGGACCAAACATCTAGAGGAAACTGGTTTATATTTTGCTTGAAATTAAACTGTATTGACATTGATAGAATAATGTAGCAAATAATGTGTACTTAGGATTGAGACCAAACTATAAATGTAAAAAGGCAGGAAACAAGTCTAACTGTGATCAGTACTAATTAATCAAAGGCAGACACTTGGAAGTTGAAACAAGTAGAAATAAACTTACCCTGTCAGAGAGGACATTGTATATACAGGGTGTCATGTTCAGTATTTCATGCATCACATCTTAATGTTTTCTCTGAATCATTAAAACCACTGTTTAATTTGAGTGATTCATGGGTGGTAGCTGCAGATACAGCATCATACCGTAAGTTTGGAACTATGCATGAAGTTAGGAAATAGTGTGGGTTTAATAATACTTCCCTAGTATATGTGCAGAGGTGTGTGTTGTTTTCATTTTCTTTTTGTGAGAGGTGACCCCACTGATAAAAGTTTTGATCACTTACTTTTCTTAGAGTACTTGAAAATTTGAATGCTGGAACAGTCTGATTAATGCTGTGTTCTTTCTTATAAGCCGACAGCTGAGAAATGTTTCTAGAATAAATTTATAATTTTTATTTTATTTAAAATACATGGAGCTGAAGTAAAACTGAAATGAAACTTTTATTGGAGACTGCTCTGTTAGTATTTTCTTCTGATTTATGTAAGACAGTGATGTGAAGAGTTCATTCAAACTACTTACACACAATGGATGTGGCCTGAGAGCTGCTGCCATTGTAGTTGTTTGGGTTCTGTTTTGTTGGAGGTTTTTTAACTTTACAGAGGAGGTAACCCAATAAAAAGAACAAAATACGTGTTCTTCCAGAGCATGACTTAGTTTAGAAGTAGTTCAATTACATGTACTTTCTCTACAAATGTCTTGAAACAGTAGGTAGTGTACATTACCACTGATGCTACAACTTGGAAATGCTGGTATTAGGCTGGTTTTGAACTCGGGTGTACACATTGTTTTAAATGTACCAAGTCTGATAGAGTCTTTACAACTGAAACCATTATTGAATATTATTGTACTCCATGAACTAGCTTTATAGATTGGCAGCCTGGTAGCTACATCAATATAGACCCAACTCATGTGATTTCTTTACTTTTTTAAAGTATTCTATGACTGTAATTCATGTCTGTCATCAATACTATGACAAGATTTATGCTTTATCTGTTGAATCATAATAAAAAGTAGTAATTTGTGTATTTAAATTTAATGATGGAAATAGTCTTTAAGTAAATTTGGAGGTTTAATTTTATTTTTCTTTAAAGTTCTGAGGATTGTTAGATATGAAAAGACTCTTATTTTAGTTTAGATGCATGACTTTTGAAGTTTTCAAATGCATATTTAGTACTAGTCTGTCAAACCTTTAACCAAAGGTATTTTGGGACAGTAAATATGTATTGCCTGGTTATTTTTTATTTTAACATTGTGAGGCAATACAAGTGAGAAGGTGGATATCACGAAGTAAAAAGGTTTAATGTGTTACCTTTATCCTAAGTCTTGTTATGACAAAAACTGATTTGAAGGTGACAAGTACTCTGTACACACTAAGAGAACCAAGTAAATGGAGCCATTTGTTTGGGTGTGGAATGGGAGATAAAGCCCTGTAATAGCATCTGTACATTAAAAATGTTCAGTTGTATGTTTTGACTTCCACATTTTTTCTCACAGTGACTTTCTAATAGCTTTCTGTTAGGTAAAGAAATGTTATAGCTTATTTAGCTGCTGTGAAGCTGTAAAGGATTTTTTGCTAGGATTATGATCTAAATTAGTGATCTTGCAAAAAGAAAAAGAGCCATGCACCACATGAATGTTGCTTTACAGCCATGTAAGACATATCCTGCTTTCAGGAGTATAGTCAACTGTACTTACAATTTCTTCATTTACTGTGGGAAAAAGTATTTGTCTTCTTGCCTCATTGTCACAAACTTCTATCCTCTGTTGTAAAAAAATATTTATTTAAAAAACAAATAAACAAAAATTCCTCCCAAGCCCAAAAAATACTTAATAAAAAACACAGAAAAAAATCAAGCTTTAGAAGACTTAGCAGGCATTTTAGTGATTAAATTATCTACTACCATATGTGCAGGCAATTTAAGTGGAATTTGTGTTTATTTTTCATTGATAGTGCTGCATTCCAACTAGCTCTATAACTAAATCCTTTTCAATTTGGCCTGATTTTATTTTTCTGTAACCCTGATATATTCCCACAGAGAGTTCAGTATGAATTTAAATACTTATGAGCACTTCCTTCAACCTCAAGTGCTTCATGATGAAAGACAATATAAGAGATGCATGTCAAAATGTTGCAATGATGGCATAGGTTGCTAATGGATGGACAGTTTCTCCCAATTCATTCAAGTAACTTTGTATCTATTTGAATGCATATAATAGTGTTTCCTTCCTGCGTGCAGAGTTCTCTATGAAGGGAAGGAGCGCATCATTTCAGGCTGTGAGGTGATTCAAGCCACTCCGTATGGTCGTTGCGCTAATGTTAACAACAGCTCGGCTTCTTCGCAACGCATCTTCATCACCTACAGAAGGGCCCCTCCAGTGCGACCTCAGAACTCGCTGGCAGTGACTGATATCTGTGTTATTGTTACCAGCAAAGGGGAAACCCCTCCTCACACTTTCTGTAAAGTGGATAAGAATTTAAATTGTGGTATGGTGAGTGTCTATAAACTTATTTTTCCTTCTTTTTTCTTTTTTAGCCCAACACATATGTTTAAAGGAGGAGCTCCTTGAACTCTTCTTAGTGCTATTGTAATTTTGTTCTGTCACAACATCACAATTCCTTCATTCTTTATACCATGTGTGAGATGTCAGTTTTGTAGGTTTTGTTGCTCTGATTTCCTTTCATGCTGGAAATTACTGTTTCATACTGATTACTCACTACTTCAGTTTGCATATTCATGTGTATTCGTGCTATTTATGAGTACTGCAATGAGGTTTTAGATTTTTTTATTGTTGTCTCTCCCACACCATTTGGTGTTCACAACCCTTGCTTGGTGCCAGCAACGCTTTGGGGATGCTGATACTTGGGATGAATCAGAAACACTTTTTTCTTAGTTAATCATAGTGTCACTGTTACTTAGGGTATTGTAAGGATGATAATTGCTGCTTAGAGTTTCTCAGTGTGCTTTGCTTTAATTGGTTCTCTTTTATTTAGTCTGCTTTGCATTTAGTTTACTTGCAGTAGAATAAATGAGTCTTTTTGAATAGTACAGTATATTTAGTCAAACTGCAAAAACACTATGTCAATAACCAGTTTATAGAAGTACAATAAAAGCTTCAAATTATAAATTATGATCATTAGAACTTTACTTCTTATAGTGAAGTCCCCATAGGAGTCTACTTTTAAATAACCAAGGAGACATGAAGGTGGGAATTAATCTGCTTCACTTTTGCCTGTTCTTTCGTTGAAATAGGTCAGATGTCAAATGTGGTGGTATATGGTCAAGTTCTTTTATGTAAATCCTGTAATGTCTAAAAAATGAGAGAAGGGTGAATTCTCATTTTTGTCATTTACATGCACTCAGCAGCCAGCTGGTCATTTTATTCTGTAATGTTTTTTGTTAAAATGTCTGATTTCTTTGTAAAGGGAGTATATTCAAATGCTTGATTTCTGTTTGTCATCTTTGCTGGTTCTGAGAGGAAACTTGTGTCTTTCAGTGGGGTTCCAGTGTATACCTTTGTTACAAGAAGTCTGTGCCAGCTTCTAACTCTTTAGCATATAAAGCTGGTAAGTAATTTTAGAAGCGGTCTTCACATGTTAGCAAAAGGATTCAAATGCCTTGTCAAAATAAAGTAATTCAAAAAATTTAAGTGCTGTCTGTCAGAATACTGGTCCTGGAGGATGTCAGCTGGAATCAGTTTCTAGAATGCCTACTTTGCTCTCCTTACTTTTTCCAAGGGGAAAAAAAGAAAAAGGGAATGACATTTTTCTTTATTATTTTAGTTCTTATCATGACAGGCTTGCTAACTGAGGATCTTTAGAAAACTTTTGTCTTAGCAAACACTACAGGTGTAAGAAAATAATTCATATTTCTTGTATTGGTGATAATGGAAAAACCTGTTCAGGCTTACTTGTATTTCAGTCTGTGTCTAAACATCTTCTGTGTAATTTGAAAGTTAAATATGTTTCTTCACTTCAAATCTACAACTATGCTCTTCTTACTTACTTGAGAGTGAAAAACTTTCTGAACAATAAATGACAAATGTGGCTTTTCAAAGGTTTTTAATGCATTGCCACAGATTATTTTTTGTTTCTGAAGAAGCCCAAAAAAACTTTCAGAAGCATTTCTGCTGAGCAGTAAGTGCACCAAATGCCTTTGAAAGGAGTAAATTACCAAATAGAAGTTGAAAGAATAGATAATGAAGTTGGTGTACCACAGAACAAGCAAGGTGAGCAGCAGCAGTAAACCCATGGATGTGTGCCTTTTTTCTACCAGCAAGAGTTAGATATATGGAGTAGCAGAGAATGCAGACAGTCAGCTAGTTCATCCTATTTTCAATGAAGGTATTACTGCTGTTTTTACACTAAACTATCACTTTCTTCATAAGAATTTCTGTTAAAATCTATTTCAGTGGTACATTTAAATAGCACAAGTACCTCACAACTGGTTTGATAAAAAAATCTTCACTATGTACTGTTTTTGAGCCGTTACTAAAAGTGTAATAGCTCAAAGGATAACTTCAGTATTCATACATTATTTTCAAATGATTGCTATTTGGGTGGCTTAGTCTTACTGTCAGATGAAAGATCTTCTCTTTGGAGATATAATATGCAGTTACAAAGTTCAGGTAAAAAAGTAATAAAGTCAGATGTAGCTATATTTTGTGGTAAATACATTGTGTGCAGTATTTAGGGCTTACAGAGAAAATGTGCTTACTTTCCTTTTTTCTGTTTTTGAGGCTTAATTTTCAGATATCCTCAAGAGAACTATGAATCATTTCCACTGTCAGATTCCGTACCCCTCTTCTGCCTTCCTATGGGAGCTACTATTGAGTGCTGGGACCCTCAAACCAAATATCCGCTACCAGTGTTCTCAACATTTGTACTGACCTGCTCTTCTGCAGAAAAGGTGTGGCTCCATACTGTGTTTTTGCTTTTATTTCAGATGGCTGTTATGGAGATAGACGGGGCCTGTTTCTTCTGTGTTTGAAAAATAGATTGTCTAATACTTCCCTTATAAAATTATATTTCTTAAGCCTTCATGTAAGATGAAGTTGAGCCAAAGCAGGAAGCAGCTGGAAGAGTATGTGCTGTTTAATCCTATGTAGGCTGAACCATACACTTAAAACCAAAGCTCGCAGAACCCTGTTCTTTCATGTAATGGGAATGGAAATGTAGTCTGTTTATTAAAAATAACTTAACACATGTGTTAGCAATGTAGCAAATTCTACAGTTACCATGGTTGCCTTAAAAGACATTTCTGTGTGACTGTATACAACAGGGCATGTGACTTTATGTAATGGGGCTCTGTACATATCTCTGCATGTGAATTGGAAACTAGTTACCATAAAGCAGGAAGGCAGGGAGAGGGAAAGTGTGCACTGAGAGGTAGGATGTGGACTCCAATGAGCTTCCAAGACTTGGTGATGTTGTTCATCACTGTTGTGAAATTGTTGAATTTGCACGAAGGGATAGATTCAGAATGACTGAATTCTGTCTTCTAACATTCTGATTTGTATGCTGAACCTGTATAAGGCCCTCAGCACACAAAGGCACTAAAAACATGTTATATGACTTGGATTGCAGGTGGGAAGGTAGAAGAGGTACTTCTGAAGAAGCAAGGGAGGCTTTGCTTAGGGTTGGTCTCCCAGCTCTTTGTAAACTTGCCAGCTGGGTGTATGTGTGTGAGCTGTATGAGGGAGTAAGTGATAGTAATGTGTGATTGGCTCTCTGTAAAAACATGTGATTAGCTCTGTAGTAAAAGTAGATTGGCTCTGTTGGTGATAACAGCTCTACTTCCACTCTGTCTCACTCCCCTAAGAGAAAAATTTACATACTTCTCTATTTCCAAACAGAAAAAAACACATTTTTCCAAAATATTAATACTTTTTTTTGCAAGGAGGATTGCAGTAGCTGCTACTGTTTTTCATCCTTATTTATTTTTGCTAAGATTGCCAGAATAACACAGTTATGAAACACAGATAAATAGGGAAGGAATGTTAGAAGAGGCTTTTATCTTGTATACATGATAAAATGAGGGAAGTCAAAGCTAAAATACTTTTATTGTTCGGTTTGGTAATGATAGGGGAATTTTCTGAACAGAAACATTTCACGAGGCTTTGTGTTTGAAATTTTAGGGGTGTTTTTTACCCAGATAATTAATGGATGAGGTTTTGTCACAAAATGAAGGTTTGGTTCCTTCCCTTTCCATTGAGTATGACTACTTTGTTGAGGAAGGTGCAGTGAAAATGAGGAAGAGAGTTCAAGGCATTTTGTTTATAGGGTTGCTTCATGCATGTTACATAAATAAAGTAATTTTATAAAGTACCAGCAAAAGTGCTGTAGCGTGTGCAAGCTCCAAAGACTTGAAGATGTATCAAAAGTTCTAGCCCATATTCCTGTTAAGTACTGGGCCTGTTTAGCTGTTTTTTCTTCATCTTTTAGGTTTACGGTGCTGCTATCCAGTTTTATGAACCTTATCCCCGGGAGCTGCTAACGGAAAAACAGCAATCACAGCTGGGTCTTCTGACAACTGTAGAGAGAAAAGTGATTACTTCCAAGTCCATCAATTCAAACAAATGCATCTGCCTTCTCTCACACTGGCCTTTCTTTGAAGCATTTCGAAAATTTCTTATGTTCATCTACAAACTCTCTGTCTCTGGACCTCATCCTCTTCCCATTGAAAAGTATGTAAAACATTTTTCAAGTTGATGTGGGAATGTAGTTACAAGCTCAAGAAATCATGTGATTTGTGCATGTCACAGTTGCTTAGTTGCTTTACTTCATCCATCATCCTGTTTGCACTGTTTAGTTTATGTTGTATTGATAGAAATTAATGCTACTTCTGTTTGACAGTACTGGCTCTTCCAACGCCAGCAAAGCTAACTGGATTTTAGTCTGGGTCTTTTTTAGAATATGTCAAGCCTGTACACCTTTCTTTTAGCTACATCAAGAACAGGCTGAGCTGTGATACATGCCACATTTGCAGTCCTGTGTTTTAGCTTAATAAATATAAGCTCAGGAATGCTGTACATTAGCAGTAAATACCTTGTGTCTGCTTCCAAGCACTGCAGCCAATGCACATTGTCTATGAATATGTGTGTGCAAGCTCTGCAGAGGATGCTTGTCATGGTCCTGAAAATTGGCTGAAAAATGATGTTACCTTCAAAACTGTTAAGACATCCGGCAGTGAGGTATATACTTTCTGTCAGCAGAATCTCTTTTAGAAACTGTAAATGCCAGTATATTCTTATATTTTGCTTACATATCTGAAGCTGTGAGTATTAATTTTCAAGCATGCAATTGACTGAATGAAGCTTCTTCATTTCAGCTTGAATAAATAGGCTCTTAGACTTATCAAAACAGTAAAGAAATCTTAATACTGCTACCATATTAATTCTAAAATATGGTCAACATTTTTTTCAGTACTTCATTACTCCCTGGTGTGGTCTTTCTAATGTCTTGTCTTCTTTGCAGGCATATATCCCATTTTATGCACAATATACCTTTCCCTTCACCACAAAGGCCAAGGATTCTTGTGCAGGTAAGCAAAACCTTTTTTTTCATCCATTTTCTTCCATTTTAAGCTACAGCAACATCAAACCTTCACCATCTTGGTTTCATCCTTTTTTTTTTTTTTTTTTTTTTTTTTCTTTGAGTACACACCTTCTGGAAGGGAGAGGGGAGCTGGATGGGCTGGCCTTCTCTCTCATTGATAAAAACCTGGGACAATTTAGCAAAGGAAACAAATTGTTTCATACTTCAGGTGGTGTGGATGGCAGACGTGTCCTACTTGCACTTTTGAAATATCTGCCATGTATTATGCTTTCATTTTATAGGCACCATTTGCATTACCTCAGTGGCAGGGTTGTTTTCTGTCTTCCCCTCACTTGTCCACCCACCTCTGTGGGTCAGAGGTTAGTCCCCTGGGGCTCTGCCTCTTGTGCTTCTCTGTTTAATCATCTAGCACCAGTTACATGCTCAGTGCTGAGTCACGGCGGATTTCCTGTAATTCTCAGAATTGTTTCAGTGACTAATATGAGCTCTGTTCACTTAGTGAGCTCAAGTCCCAAAGGCACTGTGTTTATATGCCAGGCAGTTTATGAGACTGTGGATACATATTTATATTGGAATGTTATACTGTATTAACTTTGGGATTGTTCATGTCAATCACATACTGCTTTATGTGTTTCAGCTTTCTGCCCATGATGCATTAATATTGTCACAGCCAGTTTCTACACCATTGCCATTAAGGTATCATTATTAATGCTTTAAATGTATGCTACTTAAAAAAATCAGAGGCAAGCAGGAGTCAGTTGTAGAAGGAAGTCAAATATTAGTGCAATATCATGAGATGTTATAAACAGGAAGGTCAATATGCATTTATGATGTTACACAGTCTTGTCTTGACAGACATATGCTCCTCGTGGAAGCATAATATCACTATTATCCTGTAATAAAGATGAATTGCCAGATTATCCCAGGAATGCTAAAGAAATTGTAAGGCATTTGTGAGGAGAAAAAAATTACCCATGTTTAAAGATTTTATATTTTCAGAACCAGTGTAGTAAGCAAAACTTAATAACTTAGAGACTGCTGTCTTGATTTTTTTTTTCCCTTTTTTGGATCCATCCAAAAGAGACAGTAACATTAAGCAGTTAGGTGAAATCCATGACTGCACAAGTGTGCAAACATTTTGGGAATTCAAAATTATACCTAAAAATTGGTATTTGTGCTTGAAGGTTGATGCAGTCTCTGTGGATGTTGCCTGCATCTTCTGGGTTAGACCTCGCTATGATTGTGACATGTGGTTTTATTTCAACACTTCCATTCATCCATGGTTTCAAGTTAAAAACGAAAATATTCTCCTATTCTCCCTTTTTCACCCCAAAACATTATCATATAATATTCTTTATGCAGAATAATCCCTAATCACATTTGTTACACAAGCACTTAGGTGAAAAATTGCAGCCAGGCAATAAATTGCAAAGCAACATGTATCAATGTTTTTAAGGACAGATTTTATACCCTTGTACTCATAGATGTCATTACTATACCTGAATGTGTACAGTCACAACAAATTGAATGGAGGCTAAATTGTAGAAACTAAAAGCATGTTGCTTTCAGAATGATGGATTTATTTTGACTCATACAGGAGATTTATACTGTGATTCTAAGATCAAATGGGTACTCTAGCTCAAGATTCTTGTGTGAGGTAACTCATCATATGAAACTGCTGGTGTTCTTTTTGTTTGAATTAGCAATTTGATTTGCTTTGGTGTTATGAGGACAAGATGCCATGCATCTCTGAGAGAGAGTGTTGTTAACAGCATAAATTTAGCTGTAGCATGGTTTAGTGTATGTTTCTTTAGCAATAGAATTCAAATTTAGGTTTCTTTGGGGTAGTACAAGCCTTAAAATGACATTATACCCACCTATTAGTTAGATAGGTGGGTATTTGATGTGTATTAGCACCATTCAACTGGTTGATCCCAAACATTGACAGTTGTCTGAAGTTAGATAGCAGTGAATTTTTTTTTTAAAGCCTGTAACATTTTTCTTTTCTTCCCCCTTCCCATCCACTCCTTAGCGGAGCAAACTTTAGCACACTGCTCATGAATCTTGGACCAGAAAACTGTGCCACTCTGTTACTCTTTGTATTACTAGAAGGCAAGATCCTCCTCCATTCCCTTAGACCAGCTGTGTTGACAGGAGTTGCTGAAGCTGTAGTAGCTGTAAGTACAAAGTTTTGTACAGCAGTGAGAGAAATTGATTTAAACACCACAGTTGTGACAAGGCTTTAAGTTAAATTGGCTGTCGTACTAAATGGTCATTTTGCCCAGAAATAGCATTTAGTTCAACTGCCCTAGATAGTAACGCTTAGAAAGATCATAATTTTTGCATAGCTAACTGAGAGTTATACTGTATTAAAGTAACAAACCTAGGGGCATTTTCTGATAGTGTTACAAAGCTTTTAGTAATTTCATTTCAATGTGCTGCTTGTAACTTCTTGTTTTTTCTTGTACAGTATCTGTTGTTTTGTTTTAATGCATTTATTTCATTTAATTTTTCCTTCAGATGATATTTCCATTTCAGTGGCAATGTCCATATATCCCCCTCTGTCCTTTGTCTCTGGCCACCGTACTCAGTGCACCTCTTCCATTTATTGTTGGAGTTGATTCACGATACTTTGATCTGTACGATCCACCACAGGATATTGTGTGCATTGACTTAGACACAAACATGGTCTACATGTAAGTTCTATGGGCATTTTACATTTTTCTGTAGATGAAGAGATGGCTGAAATGCTCAGGAGACAAAATTGTTAAGCACTGTTTGCTCCAACATGGTTTGTTTCTTACTGTCCCCTTTTTTTCCCTCATTTCTAAAGCTTTGAAGTAAATAAGAACTTAGTTAGTCAAGGATGAGCACTTCCCACTTTCTATAAAAATGTGATGCTATAGATTTAGTAACAATGGTAAGTAACTAGAGAAAGGATTGTCCCCCTGTGCTGGGTGCTGGCAAGGCCATATCCAAAGTTCTGTGTTCAGTTCTGGTCCCTTCACAAGATGGAAAACATTGAGGTGCTGGAGCATGTCCAGACAAGGTGATCGAGGGTCTGAAGCACAAGAGTTGTGAGGAGCAGCTGAGGGAGCTGGGCTAGTGTGGGGAGACCTTATCACTCTCTACAGCTGCCTGAAAGGAGTTTGTAGCCAGGTGGAGGTCGGTCTCTTCTCCAAGGTAACAAGCAGCAGGATGAAAGGAAGTGGCCTCAAGTTGCAGCATGGGGACCTTTAGATTAAATAGCAGGAAAACTTTCTTCACTCATGGTCCAGCATTGGAATGGACTGCTCGAAGCAGTGGCTGAGTCACCAGCCTTAGGGGGTATTTAAAAGACATGTGGATGCAGTGCTTGGTTTAGTGGTGGACATGGTTTTGTGGTGGTCATGGCAGTGTTACATAAGTGGTTGAAGATCTTAAAGGTCTTTTCCAACCTACATGAATATGAATACTTAAGGATCTTCCATAATAACTCTTGATACTGTTTTGCACTGGGGCTACTTTATGTTAGTGTTAGTAAAGAAGTTTTTCTGAAGTTACCATGACCACATTTTTGTGAGACCAATCATGCAAAATTTGGTGTCTTCACTACATCAATTCTAAATATATTTTGACTTAATTATTGTATTTTTAGTACTTTTCTTTAATTGAAGTATTCCTTGAACAGTTTCTCTGCTCCTTCTAGGACAGGGTAATTCAGAATAATTCTTCTGGGTTTCTATAATGTGTGTAAAAATAACAGAAATGAAAAAGCAGCTTTTTCAGGTGTTTACCTTTCCATTTTTAACTAGATCATAAATAGAAAGACATATCCAAGCTAGTTCAAGATGAGGGTGATCATCACTAAATCAAGTACACATCTTTTCTCTGTGAACATTTAGTTTTACTTATCTCATCATGTAATTTTTTAACTCTTGACTTTTTTTTTTACTCACTTGAGTTATAGTTAGTAAATTGATCTGTGGATCAGTGAAATGCTTTCTTGATTTTTACTGTCTCAGAAGGACCCTTCCTCTACTGATGCCAATGCTTCCTTTACATTACTGACATGCTTTGCTTTGTTAGTAGCATCACACAGTGGAGCAAATTGTGTTTATTTTTTTATCTGGCTTTTTTTTTTCTCCTTCCCTTAAGTCTCCATTGAAAATACTTCAAAAAGCATTTTCATCAGTTTGTAACAAAGTATGCCACCAAGAGAATAGTTCTAGGTGTTGTGAAAGAAAAAATATTGAAGGAAGTCATGACAGAACTTACTCACTTGAAGATATTTGCAGGGAGAAATACCTCAGTATTTTTGTTCATAAGTAGCGTGGAAGTTGAGGATTGTATTGCAGAAAAGAAGAGAAAAAACCAGGAGATTTTGCAGGGAGATAAGGATGTCAAGATGCTTTTAGGACCGTTAGAAAGACCAAGTACCAGCATTACTTGGATTGGCTGTTGAACTAAAAATTTCCTAGTGGCTGACCTCTTACGAGGCAGTCAACTGGAAAGGCTTTCCCACCCATTTCGCATTTATCCAGTCTATACAACATGTTTAATTTCCTGAGGAGTTTGTTATCTGTAACATTTGACTTTGGTAAATATGAGGTATTGGTACCTGTGTTATAAAGCATTTTTAACCTGGCAGTGAGTGTATCTTTCAGTTCTGGGGGTGTGTAGGTAAGCCTAAATCTCCATAAAGCGCTTTGTGTTGAAGATAATACAGAATTATGAAAATACTGTGTTATTAGTGAATTAGTGAAAGATTTATTAGTATTAGTGAAAGATTTATTTTTTTTTTTCCATTTAGTTTTATCCACTTCAGTTTCTGCCCCTTTTTAGTTCTATTGGAATGTGATAGTGCTGGATTTAGTTGTTTGCTTGTTTAGGTGCAAAAGTATTTAACAGCAGTGTTTCTGACTTGGAAAGAGTGCTTAAAAGAAAAATAACTTCGGGAAAATTAGATATTTTCTGGTACATCAGTTTGCCTAGTGTCTTTCTAGAGCAAGTATATTGCTACCTTTCTTAAGTTATATTAAAAAATATTAAAGATCTTTTATTCATTCAGCATCTTCCTTATTGCTTTTCATTTGTTTTCCTAACTCTCTCTGATACTTAATGAAATACTTAATGAACTTTCAAAGTTTACTAGTCTTTATAGGGTAAAGATTTGAGAGTTTCTTTTATTTTCTCAGCAGGATTATTTTCCTGTCACTTTTGGAATGGTACCATTTATATTGTTTATAGGCATGCCATTATTGTGGGGAAAGAATGCACAAAGGTATCCCTGAGCATGGAATTTTTCTTTAACTCCAGAAATTTGGCTTCCTTCCTAAGATATTTCTGTGTTCATGCCAATAAAGCAAATAATGGAACAAATACTTCACAGATGCAAAGTGCAAAAACAACTAGTGCAAGTATCAGCTTGGGTAGTAATAACTGGTAAGGTTTCATAGCAAAGAGGTTTTTTATGGTCTCTGTCAGAGAAACTCTCTCCCATCTCCTGCCTTCCAGAAAGAGGCATAGGAGTTCTTGGGATTTATTCTCTATTCTTTATTTATGTCCAACTGCTTAAAGAAGGTGTAGCATTGTATGTGTTGTACTCCTTAAAGATGAACATCTCTTTAGGCAATTTACCCCACTGCTTAATCAACAATCATTTTCCAACTGTGAACTGAATTCCCAGTCTTTCTAGTACCTGTTAGACTGTGAAGATGGGACTGGGTTGCTATAGACATATAAAAAAGTACTGTGTGACCATCAAGTTCCCAGACTGATCTGGCCCCTTTCAGCAACATGTTATACCAGAACTACCTTTATTTGTATCAGCAGTGGTGCGGCAGGATTATGCTAGTATAGACTTTGTATAATAATCTCATATAGAAAGAAGAGTGTGTTTAATCATAGAAGCAAGGCTGATAAAAAATCTGAAAGGGAAATTGTCTATAAAGTCTAAATCAGATCTGAAGGTAGATCCTCCTTGCGGTCAGGAGAAAACTCTACTCATTACTCACTTTATACTGTTCTGTATCTGAAGAAATGAAATTCTGAGTTATGTCAGTCCCAATTTTTTTTTTTAACAAATAGGTATAGGGACAAGATTTCAAAATTATTTGAAGGTACTGTCTTCTATAAATGAAGCAACTTAAGGCTGTTGGCATTATTCTTTTTTCTACTATCTGTATTTTATATGTCCTTCTTTGTCTTTCCTGTGTTTTAGATCAGATGATAAGAAGAGCATCAGCTGGAAGCAGTTTCCTAAAAAGCCATGTAAAAGCCTTCTCAGCACCTTAAAGAAACTGCACCCACAGCTGGCAGCAGGTGAAACAGATAAAATAAAAACTTCTAATTAGTATATGAGTGTAATGATTTCCTCCTATCACATGAAGTGTGATTTTTTTATATATATATATTTTTTTAGACTTTTTTAATGTGACTTCTTGAAATTTAATCTCTTTTTTCAACCTTTATTCATGGTCATGTCCAGCCTCTCATCCACCAGCACCCTCAAGAGATCTGTTCATCCCCCATCCTGTGTTGATACTGGGGGTTTCCCCAACTCAGGGTGCAGCACCTTGCACTTGGTCTTGTTATATCTCATGGGATTTCCATGGGCCCGGTTCCTGAGTTTGTCCAAGTCCCTCTGGATGGCATTCCTTAGGCATGTCAACAGCATCACTCAGCTCGGTGCCATCTTCAAACTTGCTGAGGGTGCACTTGATCCCTTTGTCTGTGTTACTGATGAAGATATTAAATAACACTGGCCCCTTGACACTGATGTCCATCAGGGCCCTAAACCATTCACCACTACCCTCTGGATGGGAGACTGTCCAACCGATTTCTTATCCATCTAGCAATCCTGTTAAATCCATCTGTCTCCAGTTTAGACAGATGATGTGGTGGGGCTCTGTTGTCAAAGGCTTTACACAGTTCTGGAGATCTGTAGCCCTTCCCGTCCACTGATGTAGACTCCATCATAGCAGGCCACTGGGTTGGTCAGGCAGGACTTGCTCTTGGTGAAGCTGTGCTGGTGTCTCAGGTGACCTCCCTGTCCTTCCTGCTTCCAGCTTCTAGGAGGATCTGTTCCATGATCTTCCCAGGCACAGAGAGATGGCTGGCAGGGTTCGCAGTTCCCAGTGCGAGTGAATATCTTAGATAATGACTTCTCTACCACAGTAATGGAGTAGCTAATTTTTGAAAAATTGTTTTGTCAAAAGAAAAATAAAGACTAACCATCTTCAGCCTAATAAGAGCAAAGTTCTAACTGGCCTAACAGCTTTCAGGTATTGTTTCTTTCTAACTGTAAACAGGTTCTTTCAGGTTAGATGGTTCAGGGTATGTCAGGTTATATTATTATGGGAAAGGAAACTATGATGACCTCATAGGTGTACCTAAGATACATAAAATTAGTAAATGACAGAAGCAAAAAATGGTATTAAGAGATAGGTTTTCCTGCCTTAGTTTTCTGTGTTTTTATTTTTTTTTTTTTTTTTTTTGCAAATAGCCTTTACTTCATCTGTTGGAAAACCTCAACTTTTACTTTTATCAGCAGTGTGTATCATTCATTAGGAATTACTTCCTAATTTTATCTTGGACACAGCCAGTGGTCTCCATTAAATAATTTTTCTATTTTGGCAATAGTATAATAGCTATGTTGTTTTATATTTATTTATTTTATTTTTATTTATGTTTATTTATATTTATGTAGAGGTGTTTTTATTTTTATAACTGACATTTTTATTATAAGTGTGGAACTGTCATATTCAGCAATACCTCCTGCTGTTTTTTTTTAATAATACAAGAATAAACTCTAAATATCACTTACTTGTTTCCACCATTTGGTGCACTAAAATGTTAGGATTGATGTTAGAAAAGAACTTTTAGATGTGTATTCTTCAGAACAGGAAAAACATGGTGTAACAAATGAGTGGTTTAGGTCACTTAAAGAATCAGTGGCAAAGGTACCAGCAAAAGCAGGTTTCATATAAATTTTCAAAAGCACAACAATGTTCAGTAGCAAGATTCACTCTATCACTGACTACATGGATGAAGCACAAAAGGAAAATCAGATTAGAATCAAGGTAGAATGCAACGGGACAAAGGTATGAAGAGCTAGGGGAGACCCTTCTGTAGAGACAGGAGTTTCATAGAGGACCCACTTGCTTTCTAAATTCCTAATGGAGTCTAGGTGAGAATGAATCCAAACTTAGTCTTAGGCTAGGGGCCCAAGTCCAAACTCAGCCACGGGTTTGTCTAAAGCATTTAGCAGCACTTACTCATTGACTGATATAACATTTACAAAGCCATTTAGTAAGATTTACTGTAAGCACCAGGTTAACTTCATTACAGATCATACTACATTTGCCATTGGGTGTTCAAATCCATTCATAAAGACCCAAAGAATTCTATGCAAAGGTGTATATACCTGTTAAAAATTCACCTTGAGTTTAGTGAGATACTCCCATCCCTTGACAACACTTAAGGGGTGACACGTTGAGCTTTGAGAATTGGATGGTGCTGGGGGTAGTCCAAAACCTGTCAGCAGGTTTCAGCAATGGTCCTCAGAGTATGGCAAACTGGAGAGCTGGTGGGCTGTGAGAGGTCCCACTGAGAATGAGGTGCTGCTGCAGTCATAGCTGCCCAGGAGGGCTCAGAGGGCCTGGCTTGGGACTAATCTTCCTAGTGTCCCAAAGTGGTTATCTTCAGTCATCTGTCAGTCTTCATCCTGTAGATTGAAAACTACTGGAATTTTCCTCAAAAGTCCAGTTATTATAATAGTAATAGTATTAATAATAGAATTATTATTATTATTGATATTAATAACAATAATAATAGCTTTCTGTTCAAGAATAATTCAGGCAAATAGTGTTCCAAGGCTATCCATTAGGCAAGAGCTGTTCTTTAGTTCCTGAGAACAGCCAATATTTCTGATAAGCTAAAGGGGACCTTAACTGCTCAGGAGCCATTAATCAAGGCCAAGGCCTAAAGAGAAAGCTTGAGGAGAACTGGAGAAAAGGAGGCAGGGAGTGGAAAAAACTACCACACATGGTGCTTTGTGCTTGTATTGGTTTATTGTTGAAATGCTATATTCAGTTGAGTATGAAGTAACATTGGCTGAGCTGACATCCTTGTTTTATGTCACAGACTGCTCCATGAGCTGGAAAAATACACTTTTGAGGTAACTTGCCTTTTATTGGAAGGCAACTGGAAAATAATTGGAGGATTTCTAATGCTTATCCCTTATGAACATGGGCAAATAGAAAAAGAATTTGAATGCACTGAATTTTTATTAAAGGCTTGTATGTGTTGCTCATTGCTAGTTCACAGGAAAACTCAAGAAGGCTCTGCAGTGGAAATGACTCCAATAGAGGCAGATTTCTCCTGGCAGAAGAAGATGATAGAACTTGAGATGGAGATCCAGGAAGCATTTCTCCGTTTCATGGCATCTATTTTGAAGGGTTACAGAACATTCCTCAAACCAATCACACAGGCACCTTCAAATAAAGCAACTGCTGCCTGCTGATAGCCTGAGCAGTGTTACAACTTTAGAGTTGAAGAGCTGGATAACTTTAAAAGGTCAAAGTTCCCTTCAGTTGTACAGTTCTTGGCAGTATTTAAAATTGCAGTTCTCTAAAGTTAAGCTATTCAAAGTTGATTGGAACATAGATACATACACTTAGAACCACAGGTTTGCACTAGCTGAAGTGTTAGAAAAAGCTTTTTTTTTTGATAGGATGAGGTATGGCACATTCATATTGTCATTATGGCATATTCTGCAAGGGCATCTCTTGGGAATGAAAAAATATTTCTCAGTTTTTATGATGCAAAAATGCTAAAAGCCCAGTAATGAGGAGTGAAGTATTGGTCTTGATAGAAATGGTAGAGAATGGGGCAGAAGTCAGAAATATGGCAATGCAATAAATAGTCAGCAAATGTCACTTCCCTCATCACTGTTAACTATTCAAATCTGTTCATGATGAACAATATTGATGGATAATACATAAAACGTCACAGGGGTTTTGTCTGTGGTCATGTTTGTGATTTTGTTTCTTCTTTTGGGGTTGTTGATTTATTTTTTTTTTAATTACTGGATTAGAGATTTGAGAAGAGATTTTTCAGTAATCGTTTTGAGAATTTTCAGTTTTAGAAAATTTCAATCACCTTTTAGAAAAACATAATTTTTATTTTAGTATTGTTTTAGCTGTTGGATGATTTTTACAAGGTCATCTTCTTTATCTTGCACAAAGAGTCAACCAACAGAGTGAGAAGGTATTACATGGGTGTGATTGATTGCCAAGGATGTTAAAAAAATAGCTATTAAAAATGCTGTTATTTTAATCTTCCAAATGCAAATAGTAGATATAAGTAGTTGTTGTTATTGATAAAGCAAATACTTGGTGTTTTGGGATCTTAAGTAATTTATATTGATGATGTGATTTATGTTTATTAATGCATTTCATGTGTTAGTTTCTTATGGAACTGTTGACTGGTATTTAGTTGTGTGTTCCGTTTTATAACCAGGATTTTTAAAAAGCAGAGACCGTGCCTATACGAAGTTCTACACGCATCTCACCAAAACACAGATATTCAGCCGCTTTATTGAAGAGTGCAGTTTTGTGAGTGACAAGGATACTGGCTTGGCATTTTTTGATGACTGCATAGAAAAGGTGAAAAAAATACTACTAAATAATATTCTTCTGTTCACTTTGTGTTACTGTCCTGTCCTTTAGTTGAAAAGGTGCATAACTTCTGCAGGAAGTACTCAAAAGGATTGGAATTCTTGGTGTTTATTGCTGAGTAATTTTCCTTTTTTCATCTTCTTGCATGGTCATAATTTCTGTGTTGTTGGAGGAAATTTTAATTAAAGGCCTGTAGGATTTCAGTCTATAAGACTGTAGGATTTCAGTCTATAAGATAATGTGAAAATTGCCAGTAGCTGACACTTTAGAAAAATACCACCCATGTCTTCCCATTAAATGTTTATGTCGTCTCCCTAATGTGGAATTGCTACTGGTGGTAATCTGCCATGACCAAAAACAGTGTCATAGTTTTTCCCATAATTTCAACTTTAAACACGCCTAGTGCTTCAGATGTGGCCAGGACTGGTTTCAGATGTGGCCAGGACTGGTTTATGTGGATAAGTTCCCCTTTCATTACACACATGTTATAGAAGACGATTGGTATTTTTTTTTTGTCTTTTTGTTTGTTTGTTTGTTTTTGTTTTGTTTTGTTTTTAATGAAGTCACATCAATATGGTTCTGATCTAGATAGGTTATGAAGTTTATAGCTTCATCTTTAAAATTCCAAGTCCACAATATTAAAGTTAGGAGCTAGAGAACTGCATTTATTTTTTAAGGCATTTGTATATGGTTCTTTCTGGGCAGAACTTTAATACATTCTTATAGACTGAGTCTTTGATTCAGTATTTATTCCAATCAGATTAACATTTGTGAATGGACAAAAGTTAATTTGCATTTTATTTTCTCTGCCAAATGTGGATGCATCTAAGAGAATACTTCTTTCAATAATTTGTTATGCATGTTGTCATATTTGAAATAGCTGCTGAAGAGTCCTTCCCTCTCTCCACTAAACAAAATGCAAGCACTTTCCCTTTGATAGATTAAGGATTTTATATTTAGTAGATAACGTCGGTAGATTGAAAGCATACTGATTACTGAATTGTTCACTGAAGTATTTGAAAAAGAGCTTAATTGCTCCTACAGTAATATTGAAATTTGCTGTTTCTTCTTTAATATTTCAGAAAGTGACACAGCTTTAATAGAATTATTTAGGATTTTGGTTTTGAGTTGAGAAGAAACTTAATTTTTTTTTTTTTCTTTTCCCAGCTCTTTCCAGATAAGGGAACAGAAAAAGGAGAGAAGGTACTTTGACCTTGAAAATGTTTAGGAATATCTGATCATGAAATAAAAATTGAAAGACAAGGCTGTGGATTTGATATTTGAGTAATTAAAAGAAGTATAATTTATATATACCCAATCAAATACAGTGTATATTAGATATATTTTTATATATTCTAACATAATCGGTGATGCAAAGGACATTTTGTTACAAAGCTAAACTCTGTACTTAGGGTAAAACTCTGTTTTCAGGTCGATGTAGATTCTGTCGAAGATGCACGCTTGATTGAGCTTGATGAGTCACAAAAAAGTGAACACACAGTGTTTATAATGCCACCAGAACCACCTGCTGATGATGGACAGGACCGAGTGCCAAAATACAGGTTAGACAGTCACATAGAGTGAAACTAGAGTGCTTATGATGTTTAGCAGGGCAGATGGTTCATGCTAGTGCAAGACTTGCCTTAATACAGTGTTTAGAAGAACTCTTTGAAAGATATGAACTGCCCAGATTCTGGTAAGTTTCTGAGCCTCTAGAAGGTCAGCGTTTTGGGGATGTGTGTATGTGAGGGCATGTGGATTATGGTATTAATTTTTCAAAAATTTCTTACAAACTATAGTAAAACTTCTCTGCATGTGTTCCATGTCCTTCTTCCTGTTTTGTGTATATTTCTTCCTGTACATTTGTGTATATTTTGTAGCAAGTGCAGCTTTGTTTCATGTTGTCAATGATGAAGGGTGGGTTATGAGTCTACCCAGTACTACTGACTACCAGACAATGAACCAAAAGAACAAAACATGCGCTCCACTTTTCAGACTTCTTGCATTCAGTCTTTTTCAGCCCTGTGCAGGAAATGTGGAGTTTCAGACATTCTAGGTACGATTTGTTTCTTCCTGTCTCTCTTGGAGATCATGAAGGTTGTGTTTTTTGCTGTTGTCCTTGTTAATCATCGTCTGTGCTCCCCGGACCTTCATGACATGGTTAGCAGTCTGGTTCTTATTACCATTGTCTTTGGAGGTTTCACATCCGAGGCATCTTCTCTTTCCTTCTGGTTCTATATTCCTCTTTGTCATTTTTTTCCATACCAGTTGCCTTTGTATGGCTTTCCTGCCATGAGCAGGTATGTGAATAACTTCTATTTTCTGTTTTTTTTTAAATCATCTATATAGCTATAAAAACTTCCCGCGACTAGATTTCAAGCTCTTTGATAGGCCACAGGAGCTCAAGCTCTCCTTCAGCAGACACCCAGCTGGAAGCAGCATTTCAAATAGTCCAGCACTCATGGCAAAGAGGACAAAACAGGTCAGATGAGTCTCACTGTAATCACTGTGTGATCACTGAAAGATACAAATTTTTTTAGTAAAACTGCCACTGCCTGTTTATACTATAACTTAATGCTGTTAGAGGTTTGGTCTCTGTAACTATTCAGAATGAACAGTTGCAAATAAAAGAAACAGAAGAGATTAAAAAATTATCATCTGAGATTACAGTTTATTGTCAAATTGATTTTTAAGCTTTAGACTGTAATATAAAATCAAATTTAAATTAATGCTTGTTGTGGGGAAAGAAAGATTGATCCTAATGCTAGTTTTTGTTTGCGGAGTCTTAATAAGAGAATTGTAAAAAAGGATCTTCAGCTGAATGTGTGTGTATTGTTATAGACACAGACTTACTCTTAAGAAGCCAGTATCTGAGTTAGATTTCTATATTCAAGATGTTATATCGTTTGTCTGCTTTTGTGTTTTGTTTTACTCTCACAGGAGATAAAAACAGCCCATAAATTAGCCAAGAAGTATTATGTAAGCCCCTCCCAGTGGGCTAAGTGTCTCTACAGTCATAGTTACAGCCTATGGTTTATTTGTCTGCCAGCCTATGTCAGAGTTGCACATCCCAAGGTCAAAGCACTGCAACAGGCATACGATGTTCTGATTAAAATGAGGAAAACCGATGTGGAACCACTAGATGAGGCAAGTGCAAATCAAAAAAAAGTTACTGTGACTGTGAAATAGAAGATTTCAAATGCAGTGTGTTTTGCTGACACCACCAGCTTAAGCATACTTACGGTTAGACCTGTGTTAAAGCTATCTTTCAATCATCTCAAGTCAGTTTAACTGCAGGAACTGGATATTAATTCCCTTTTTTATCCCAAACATAGTGTCTGCTGGTGGAAGTACTCCGTCTCAGTGTTGCTAGTCTTCTCACAGATGACTTCCAGAAGGAAGTTCTTGAATATCCCTAGTTTTTATTGCGCTTTAATTAATGCTTTGCAGCCTTACTGCACTGAAGGGATGAGGGGTTTGTATGCAGCATACTATTCTTTCATGCAGTATCCACAGGCACGCAGCAGCAGGTTATCCTGCTTTTCATGTGGACATCTTACCTCTTTAATTTCTCAAATAGAAGAGCTGAGGGGGGGAAAAAAAATCAGCACGCCCAACAGTGTGATTGCTGATGTTATTTCAGGTTCTGTGACTTGCTGTTTAATTTTTGCTCCCTCTTCTGGCTGTGGCATGTCATGGACTAACTAGTTGTTCTCACAGTTTTCCCTCTTACATGTGTAAAAGTTGGAAATCAGAAAAGAGCTTAAGATGCTTCAGAATTCTTGTCCTTAGTGCATTTCTGTATCTTGTCAGGTCTGTTACAGAGTAGTAATGCAGCTCTGTGGACTGTGGGGTCAGCCTGTTCAGGCTGTGAGAGTCCTTTTTGAAATGAAAAATGCTGGAATACAGCCAAATGCCATCACCTATGGTTACTACAATAAGGTAAGGTCCCAGTGTCTTTTGCAGTTGTCACTCCCAGTGTCTGGTAGCATGTTTTTAAGGTTTTTTCTTGCAGCTCTTGGCTTGGATTTGCCGATTCTGTTGGTCAAGCAATCCTTCTGGACATGCTTACAGAATGACTGAATCTACACTAAATGGTTTTACACTGTTAAAATTTATATTCCCAGGCTTTTTGTCTAACCAAAAATTCTATTGAAATATGGATTTACACTGTTTCCGTTTGCAAATTTTGGAACCATATAGTGCTTCCATGTCAAATAAATCTATGAGAAGGTGTGTTCTTTAAGATAGCAAGATTCAGGATGGATGAAGGCTGGTATTAGGCTAGTTGAGGTAGCTTCCCCCTCTTTCCTTGCTTCCAAATTCCTGTAATATCCTGATGAAACTTCAGGGTAAACTATATAAAGGAAGAAGAAAGGAGACACTACTATGGTCTTCTATTGCTGTTAAAATATATAGATAAGAAAAAAACCCACCTTGTTTAAATAAAGAAATTTTGATTGGTTTGCCTGGTTTTGTCTGGTTTTACTCAGCAATTGTGTACTGAGCTGTGGAATAAAAGGGAAGAGCTCATAAAAATTCAAGTATTTTGTCTACTTCACATGGTTGACAATTATTTTTTTTTATTGGGGGGAAAAGGAAGTTCCCTTCCCACTGTACTGTGTTTTTTAATGTAACTTCCTTCCTGTTTTTGTTATTGCAAAAATATCTCTTTCTGCAGGCAGTTTTAGAGTCTTCTTGGCCTAGCAGTAACCGCAGTGGCATATTCCTGTGGACAAAGGTACGAAACGTAGTTCATGGCACAGCACAGTTCAGGCAGTGCTTAAAGAAATCAACGCAGAGCCCACCAGTGCCTGTGATACCAGGTAATAAGTTAGTTGAAATAGATTTATTTCTGGTGAACAAGAACATGAGATGCTTTCTGAGGGATTGCAGCTAAAATTGTGGCTTTTGAAAGTGGAAAATCTGTCCTTAAATGTATAAAAATTGGTATTTGCCAACTTGATGCTTGTAACAGGATTAGAATGCCTTTTGCATACTGAAGAATTAATTATCTTAGTTTCTGTTGACAGAATTTCATACTCTTATTTTATATGTGCAAGCCGAAGTATTTACTGTTGTCTGAAGAGGTTGGATTTGTTTAAAAATCTGAACAACTAAGTCCTCTCTTACTAACCAGCTCTCATTCATGTCTTTAGCTCTGCGGAGTCCCACGGGTGGAAGTGATGGGGACATGGTGAGCCATGGTAGCGTGGATAGTTCTAATGATGCTAACAGTGGGGAGCACACCCTCTTCGTCAGTGACTTAGTCAGGCTTGATTCCGTTGATAATCACTCTAGCACAGGTACTAGATTCTGCTGGGTTTACTACTAACAGTTCCTCAAAAGGCTAAATTTTCTACTCTCCTGTTGATTTCCCCTTCATGACTACTACTTTCCCTTCTTGAGGCTGTAGAGAATGTGGAGTTAACTTGTGTAGAAAAAGAAGTACACTATTGTGGAACATTTCTCCCTTAGTGCATGTCATGCTTCAGAATGTACCGTAGAAATACTGTTGTATTAGAATAAATGTTTTGCTGTGGTCTCATGTACCCTACTTTTTGTGTTAACCTTCAGAAAAGGTATGAAGCCTCTGACATATGAGGTTGCTTAATTTTTGCATGTTGTCATTTATTTACAGAAGTGGTAGTCTATGTCAGTAAAATCTTTCCATTAATGGAAAGGAGTGATATTTGGTGAGGTGATTAGAAAGTAACACTTAAAAATGTTTTTCCTTGTTAATATCCTAGAAAGGTCTAATTAGCATTCAGGGAATTAGTATGTTATGTTAGGTTATGGTAAACTATGCTTTTAAAGGCCATATTCAAGTGTCTTAATAGTCGTGGCTAAACTTTGAAATCAATACAGAAATTGTCTGAACCTTGTCATACAGCCTTTAGGAGACACTGTAGGAATGGAAAGGCAGGTGATAAGCTGGAAAAATACTCCATGTTAAACACAGTGTGCACTCATCTTGACCAACTGAAGTAAAAAGAGTGCACAGGAAGTTAGTAATTTGAGATGGCAAGACAAAATGCATGGTTCTTCTTACCTGCTTTAGTACTGATCACATCCTACCTGTGCAGTCTCAACTAAACTTCCTTTCTGTGTGTACTTCAAAACTTAATGTACAAAATGATTCTTGCACACTCTTTGTGTTTTTAATACCTTGAGCTCTTCTGTAAAGAGAACTTTGAGTCTGATTCCTGTGCTTCATCTCTTATGTCTGCCTAGATAACTGAACTTCCCTTCTCTCTGCTCTTTGTTGCTCTGCTTTTTGCTCTTTGCTGTCTCTTGGGTGCCGCATTTGTCCTTGGCTATCACGGTGTGGGGTGCAGACTTACGGTGTGAAGCCTTGGATGCACGTGTGCATTATTTCTACCCTTGAATGTTACTCCTGCAGGTAATTCACCCATTTATTGATGGGATATTGGCACTTCTGCTCAAGGCAGGGATACTAACATTATAAAAAATCTGAGAGAAAAATAAGCATCAAAGAATTTCAGAACTTAATTTTCTATGTAAAAAGTTTTTAATATAGTAGCCAAATGTATTAATTGCTGGCTGCTCAAATTTTTAATTCCTTTTAACGTAGTAGTTATTTGTCGGTAAAATAAACAGCAGTGATATGTATGATAGATGAATTGTATCTGTCACCCTAGTTTTATGGAGCTTCCTATCACCTTTCACACTCAATAACTTGCTTTGATCTTTTTTGTAACAGTAATAAGTGCTAATAGGTACTCTGAAATATATAAACAATCCCGTTTAACATGTTGCTGAGAAATACGTCTATATCGTATTTTTGTCTTTTTGTACATGTAGCAGCACTTCAGGTAAAAATAACAGAGAAAAGAGTTGTATTTTTTCATATGACAAACTTTTTTGATTACTGTAAACTTTTAACTGGTATAGAAGAGGAACAGACTTCTAAAACAATATTTATAGTTTAACTTTATTTTCTATTACAATTTATATTTTGGCATACAGTGCAAAGATACAGCACAGTTTATAGTACAGGTTTTTTCCAGGGCTGTATTCACTGTTAGAATTGCTCAATTATCAAGCTGTGCTTGTCTAAATTTCTTTTGTTAATGCATTTGAGAATTTAGCTTACCCAGCAGTTAAATATTTCATGCCAATGTGATAGGAAAGGAATGAGAGCAGATACAGTGCATTAAAAATAGTTTGTCACCATAGTGTTTCTAGGGGAATAACTCATATTTAGTATAATTAATATAATTAGAAAAGGAAATTTGGATTGATATAGCCAAATTATCTTTGGTATTATCACCACCGAGTAGATCTTTCCACAAACTAGACATTTTGGAGATCTTATTATGAACGTTTTTGGAGACACAACATGTGAAACAAATAAATTTCAGATCCTTTATTTTCTTATTGAAAAACAAATTTAGGAAGAAAAAACAAGTTTGAAGCATGTGTTTGTATTTTTTCTAACAGGTGGTCAGTCAGACCAGGGTTACAGACCCAAGGATGAGCTTTTGAGAGATTGTGTGGATAATCTTCCTATAACTGAAACACAAGTAGAGAAAGATATTTCTTCTAACATTGAAGACTTAATAGAAGGTTAAGTATGCGTGTTTATGTTGGTGAAGACTTTTGGTAATAAATGTGTTTCTTGTGTTAGATTACCACAGATACCCAATGTATTGAATTGATAATGTTCAAAGGCTCAGAATACAACAGATTTCATATAGTTATTTTACTTCTGTGCCCTAAATTACAGCAGTGGAATGTTTATAGGTAGAAATAGCCTTTTATTAGATTAACTTACTATAGATGGAAAAATTGGACAAATGTTGGGGTACACAGTAATTTACATTCCATTGCTCTCATTTATCTGTTGGAATTATTGACAATTTTTTAGCTGTTCCTGTTGACCTAATAAAAGGCACTACTTTTTTTATAAACTCTTCCCAGCTATAGACGGCCTTATGGTCAACTTCTGTCTTCTGTTCAAATTTTGCCATTAGTTTTTCTCTATTTTGCTGTTTTTATTACTGAATTTGTTTCATATCCGGGTTATGAGAACCTTTATGTGAGTCAGAGCTTTTAAAGCTCTTATTAAACAAACAGACCTGCATGAAAATCTGTGAACTACTGTTCTTATTCTGCTTTGGTTAGTTGAAAAAATACCTTGGGGAGAAATTGGAAAATGCTATGACCATGTGAAGAGCTTAAGCACTCTCTGCATAGTGCTGGCAGCTGTAACCTTTCTGGGTATTGCTTCCAGTAAATGCTCAGTACCTAGTAGGACTGATCCTTTAGTTTGTTATTAAATAAGGGGACAGTGGGAGCTTATATTTTACATATCAGCGCAAATAATTACTAAGTTAAATATTAACTTTATGTATAGATACATAGATATATAGACATATATGTATCTACTAATGTTCACATTTTCTTTCTCACAGAGATTTCTACAGAAAAATCTTATGAAAAGCAACAGCTGAATATAGAAATTCTGAGCCCAGCTGATCCACCTGCTTGTGGTAACAGTATTGTGAAAGTTCCATCAGGCATTTTTGATAGCAGTGGAAGGAAGAGCAGTGATGGTGAGTCACTGGGTGAAACAGAGCTTGCTAAAGTCCTGATCTTGTGCTGTAATGTTTTGCAATCTGTTTTGTGTTATGAAAAGAAACAAAACTTCTGTTCAATGTGCGGATGTCTTGCACAGTGTTTGCTTTCCACCATTACCCTGTGCAGGTGGCATAGAAGGAACCTCTGGATTCTAAGGTTGAAAATCACTGTTCTGTAAATTGAAATCAAGATTTTCCCTACTCTGCATTGAGAGTGTTTCAGTAATATACTAGGAAACAAAGAGAAATTGTGTCTCTGCTCTCGATTTTGTCATCTAAACCTTGCTGATCTTGGACAAGTCTCTGTTCCTGCAGCTTACATTGCCAGTCTCTAATGCAGGAATATGTCTTTGTGCTATACAAAATTTATTTACTTATCTCAAGATTTGTGATAAGGAGGATTTATGGATATATGAAAGCCAAATCTTGGGGATCAGGGTTTTTTTCTGCGTTTGTGTCTGTCCTTTACTAAGACGAGGTAGTCCAGCCTCAGTGTAGCTTGATAGCAAAGAATGGAGTCTCAGGTGGGAAGCTGCCTGGAACATTTTGGCAGTTATGAGAACTGATGGCTAGCCAAGAAGCAGCGTTGGCGTGAGACTCAAACATCCTCCAGCAGGTGGATATGCTACAACAGGTCTTCTCTTGAAGTCCTAATATAGCAGAATTTCCATATTTACAGAGGTTTTAACCTAGATAACACAGCTATCTAGGTAGTAAATATTCCAAATTACCTTGAGGAAATAGGAATATTTATAAGATTAGTTTATATTTTCCACATGCTAAACTTAATTAGCATTTTCTAAATATGCAGCTGTGTCATAAATGAAATAATGCATCTATATTGGGCAGACACATATGGTAGTTTTTTTCAGAACAAGAATGAACTATGGAGTTTGATGTTTAAATGTGTAAATGTATAGCTCTTGGGGAGAAAAGAAATCAAAACCAACTGAGCAACTTTCACTTAAAATTGTAGTTTCCTTTAGTTCATGGATATAATACTTACTCTCTGGGTGTTGGCACAGGGAAAGGAGGTAGAAGCCATAAACAGCTTTGACTCCAAGCAGTAGGTCGCTTTTAATCTGCAAAAGTGAAATAATGTGTTCATGGTAGCGTAACTTCTAGTGTAACTTCTTAGTGGGTGTCTTGTGACTGTGGTACTCCCAGTCTCCTCTATGTAAGAAGATTAAGGAGATTTCACATTGTTTCAGGAAATAAACGTTTTTGGTGGCTATTGATGCCATATTAATAATGCATTTTCTCCTTTAGAAACTGTTTCTAGCCCACTGTTCATAAGTCAGGATTCAATTGAAGACACAGTCTTTGGTAATGTTTCTCCTAAGAAAACAAGTGAAAAAAGACAGAAGAGGCAAAAACTGTTTTCTGAGAGAAGCTGCAGTTTCAGCAGTGAAAGCAGAGCTGGAATGCTGCTGAAAAAAGGCAGCTTGGACTTGCATTCTAAAGAAATAGCAATAATGATGGGAGCAGATGCCAAGATCCTAACAGCAGCTTTATCTGGGGCCAAAACTTCACCCTCTCATATGAGTAAATCCCACAGCTTTGAAACTATCACTGACCAGCAGGTTTCTGACATAAGTGGCACTTGGAGTGCTGTGACTGAGAGTGATTGGAACCTAGAACATAGGTCTTCACCAGTGCTGGAAGAACCTGGGGAAGGACAGGAGCATCTTGAGAATGGAAGAGATGGAAACATGACCACAGCGGAAGACATGAACCTTGAACAGTCAGCTGAGTCTAAAATCCAGATACCAGAATCCAGAGATGCAACTGCTAAAAGAAATAGCTTTTATGGAGTGGCTAAGCCTATTGAAAGGGAAGATGTTGCGGTAGGCTTGGACCCTCTGTCTTTGCTAGCTACTGACAGCACACAACCAGGTTATCCAGAACCTGAGGAAAAGTTAATGTCACCAGTTGCAGCACGTAATTTGGCAGATGAAATAGAGAGCTATATGAATTTGAAGAACCCATTGGGTAGTAAGTTTCCCAGCATGGAACTGCACAAGCCGGATAAGGAAGCAGAAGCTTCTAGTATACTTGGTCACTCCCAAGAAAGGAGGTCAAGCCTGCCTTTGGATCCCATCCTGGCATCCTCCAAACATTATGAAAATCGAAGAAGTCCTTCTGTCTCCAGATCCAAAACGTTCACTGGACGATCAAAGCAACAAACTCATCCACAAGTTCAAAAGGAGCGGTCTTCATCTTTGACAGGACTGGGTCGTTCTTCTCCGCATGGCTCACTGGGTACTGTCGTAACAACTTTATCCAATCTGAAGTTAGACAATATACTGTCTGGACCAAAAATGGATGTTTTGAAATCAGGCATGAAGCAAGCTGCCAATGTGGCCAGTAAGATGTGGGGAGTTGTAACATCAGCATATAGTTACTCAGATGATGAGGTAAGTGTTTTTCAGTATGTGGGGAAAAATCTGGGGACACAAAGTTAGAGGGCTAACTTCTATGTGCAGAAGATTGCTTCTCTAGATAGTGTTTTTATTAAGTATTGACTTTATCTATGGTGTTTTTCTTTGCCATTAAAAAAAACTTTCCAGACCAAAGCAAATTAGATAGTCTCAATGCAGTAAGTTTTAGCTTTTTGTTCTCAACGTTTCTCCCATTTGTTTATTAGTCTTTTTATTTATATGTAAAGAAACTGAACCAAGTAAGTGGTTATAAGTATATGTAAGTGGTTGTAAGTGGTGTGTGTATATGTAAGTGAATTGAACCTGGTAAGTAAAAATTTATGTCACCTTAAATGATGCCATACTGCCCTGTCTTACTTTAGAAAACTATGTTGTGAAAATAAATTACAAAGGAAGTCAGGTTGGCGAGGGTCAAAGTTGAAAGTAATAAGGTGCAGCCTTATAAGGCTGTAATAAGTAAAATAGGCTTATAAGGCTGTAAAAGTAATAAGGTATAACCTGAGATCTAGTAAATTTACCTATCAGGCATTTGGAAACTAAATGTTAGGGCTCTTCTGAGACTTAACAGAGCATTTTTCAGAGTAAAGCATTACACACAATAATTACAAGAATGAAAAAGGATGTAGAGGATGAATATTGTAACTTCCTCTTTTCTTGTTGTCTTGTTTTTGTGCTTTCAAACACGGTTTTCTCAGTTAGAAAGGCTCTGCTTGATCCAGTTAATCCCTCAGTCTAGTGTTTGGTTTTAAGGATCTTTTTTGTCTCGTCTTCAGTCTATTAAAATAGCTTCTTGTTGCCTTTCTCAAATTCTCCTTTCTTTGCCCAGGCTTCATAAAATGTAGAGAAGGGAAAGATAGTTTTGACTTTATTTCTGTGTGAAACAAATTTAACTGATGCTGCTAATGGGGTCTCTTATACTAAATAAGTAAATATAAATAAATTCTTATTCTTTTAACCAGATGTTGCCTGTGACAACGAAATCTTGCTGCCTTGCTTTCTTTCTTGAAATTTTTTTTCCTATGATCTGTGTTTTCTTCTGTGTCTATTAGACTGACCTATTGCCTAGAATTTTGTTTAATGGCACATAATTCCAAGGATGTGACTTATTTCACTTTTCTTCAAGCATCCTTACATTCTCTCCTATTTTATTTATTTAACTTAACTTTTTTTTAATATCTGAATTATTGCACTTTGTGGCATCTTGTGTTTTGCTGACTGGCTTATTGCTGCATCATTTCAGCCGGTATGTTTCCTTCCTGTCTTTAATTCTGCAGATAAGACTAACTTGAACCATTTTTCTGCTAGTTGCTTCATTTTGTGTAATGCCCAACAAATAACTGTTCCGCATAATTTTTCCTGTTTCTCTTGTAATAAAGAAATTTATCTCCCTATTGTTTTGTCACTCATTTTGTCAGTTTTCCAATATCCTCCTGCTTTGTCCAGTACCTGCACTTTTTGAGGCTACATCTAATTTTTTTTTTTACATCAGGATTTATCTTAATCTGCTAGGTTAATTATTTATTCTTTAGGATAAAGATGGAAGTCAAATAATGGATGTGGAAGTAATCAAAAATGCTACTTTTTCTTCTTGCATTAAAGGAAGAAAGCCATCGACCAGACTTTAATTTCCCTGTTGGCTTTGAAGATAATATTTTAGGAGATAATCTGTCATCAAGAATTGGAGTCTCAGGCCTCCTTAAAAATGAGCTTGCACAAAGCACTACTAGTCTTGGCAGTAGCAGCAGTGGTGGTGATGTAGGAAGACAGCATTACAGTGCAGGTGAGATGATTTAGGTTTTTTTTTCCCCTGATAACTTGATTATAATACAACAAACAGGGAAAACTGTTGTATGTGAAATCACTCAAAACAGTGGAAGATCATCAGAGCTTGCTCGTTGAAATAAAGAGAAATGATTTCAAGCCCTTAAGAGAATTACAAGCAAATTTTTATTTCCATTCTATACTCTTCTCTTGCAGTAGCAAGTAGTTTATGCTTCTCTCTTTGTTGAATGTATAAAAAGCTGATAAAATATGCAGGAGTTTAACCTGTATATGTGATAGGAAGATTGCTAACTAGTTAGAGCAAGAAATACCTGCTCATTCATGTAGAGTCATAAGACACTTGAAAGTATTAATAGTAAAATACTAATACAGAAATGCTGAGCAGTTTGAGAACTGCAAATAGTTGCATAACTAACAAAGACAGATCATTTGAGGGAGGAAAGAAGAAACCAACCAAAACCAAACCAGCAGAACAGCCCCATAGTTCCATGTGCACAAAAAACCTAAAGCAATATACACTAAAAGTTAGTTATCCTTACCATGGAATAGGAGATGTTGGATACATAGTTGATTTGAACTTATGTAGGTAAATAATTGACAACTGTGAGCCTAATACAAACTGTCCTTCCCTCCTCCCTGCCAGATGTAAAACTGGATTAAATAAATCTAGTAATTTTCAGTTCAGATTTAATTCAGTTAGGTTTGATTCTTATTTGGAGAAAAAAAATGTGTTTCTGAACCAGCTGTGAGGGTGGTTTAGGTCTCTTTGAATAGAATACTGCAGTGATGCAAATATTGTAAAGCTGTCGGCATCAAGAGAGGAAGAACTATCTTGCATACTGGAGATAAGGTGGCCCTCTATCACAAAATCTTGACAAGGTATCTTCCATTTCCATTTCCAGTTAGGAGGGTTGTAAGAGGTAACTATAAAGGGAGGCAGACAAAAGGGTATGTAAAATTTGTTAACAGACATAATCTTGAGCTGAAAAAAACAGAGGAGCCTTCTTTATGATGCGGGGATACTGGTGGTGATTTTTTACACAGAAAAATTCGGGCTTGTAAAAAAATTTTTGATAATTTTGCCTTCTAAAAGTGATTCCAACCATTTCCTTCTGGTGAATGTATTCCACCTCCCTTTCCCCTTTTCCTGGACAGGGCTCATAACCATAAAACCTAGAATTACCAAAGAAAGAATATTTGTTTCAGTGCAGTGTTAATCACTGAAAATCTAAGTGCAATAATGGCAAGTTTTGGTATCATACACCTCACCTGATGCTGTCCTTACATTTGCTATTTACATGTGGTTGTATTATTCAAGAAATCATGACTAACTTTTTAGAGTTGGTCAATATACATTGAGCAATCTTACTGCTCTTTACCAGTCTATTTTTTTGTGTTTTTCTTTTACTAATCTGTGGTTTATTGTGTTAGAAAAATAACCTTGAAATGTTACATCACAAACATTATATTTATCTATATTGTAATTGTAATGTCAATGAGTTATAGATACTTGTATCTTTGGAGATCTTTTGGTACAATTTTCCAGCCTTGGTTGAACAGTCGAGATTTTCTTTGGGAATGGATTAATTATTCTTTGCTTGAATACAAAACTCAAATTACTCTTTTTGTGCAGGTGAAGTTTCATTCCCAAAAAGTATGAAAGTTCTAGATTCTGAGAAATCAGAGCACAGCTCTTCACATAATACTAGTTTATCCAGCATTTTCCAGAACTATGCAATGGAGGTAAGATTAATGAACTCATAGATGAAAGCTATAGTCAACAGTACTATATACATTAATTACCTATTTAATTGCATTGTGGTTGGCTTTTTCAAAACATTTTTTTCCTTGTTTCTACTGCAGAGATGCTTAATACTTGTAGCTTGGAGTGTGACAGCAGCTTTAAAAAAGTGTCTTAAATACTTTTATGCATTCATTACTTAGAGAGAGAAAAAGTTGTTGAGGGAAGGGTCCAAACTTGAAGTGAAAGAGAAGTTAGAGATGAAACAGAATCTTTTGAGGGGTTTAAATTTTATTTTCCTTATGAAAATTGTGTTGTTACTAAATAATTGTGATGAGTTGGCCACAGACAGCGCCAAAGCCCTCACACAGGTATTTGCTTAATACCCTTTAAATGGGAAACAGAATTGAAAGGGCAAAAGGAAAAAGTTTGAGGGTTGAGATAAAGACAATTTAATACATTAATTTTGCAGAAAAAAATCAAGAGGGACACATAACCAAAAAAAGTACAGTAATGCAGAGAGTAGTCTGCACCCTGACACCTCAAGGAAGACACCTTGGAAAAACACACAGTTTTATCTCTGAACTTGATGTAACACAGAGTCATTTGTTCAGCTGAGGTCAGCTGTCCTGGCCGTGTCCTCTCACAGGCTGAGTTGTGCACATAATGAAAAAGTCCATGTTGATGTATAAAGCTCTATAATTAATGCAGCAATATTAAAACACTGGAGTGTTACCAAGTAACATGGAGCTAGTTACCAGTATGAAACGCAAGACTATAAAGAATACTAACAAGAAAATTACCTCTATCCCAGCCAAACCAAATGAAATAATGTTTTAGTATGGTTCTCTGTTTTAGTTATTACCTGTAGATACTTTCAGATTTCAGATACATAGAGGAGTGTTAGGAGGAAAGTGTCAGAAAAACGTGGGATGAATTGACCACAATCCCCATTCACATGTGCCATTTCAGGGAAGAAGGTGGAGAAGTCAGAAATTAAAGTAAAGCCTGAGAAGAAGGGAGGGATAGAGGGAAGGTGTTTTAAAATTTGGGGGTAATTTCTTACTGCCCTACTTAAACTTTTAATTGGCAGTATATTAAATAAATTTCCACTAGTCAAGTTCGTTTTGCCTGTGACAATAATTGCTGAGTGATCCTCTTGTCCCTATCGTGACTCACAAGACTTTTGTCATATTTTTTTCCCCTATTCACTTGAACAGGAAGATTGCTAGGATGGCTTTGGTGAGCACCTGGCATCCAGCCAGGGTCAACACACCACACTATTATAAAGGTTTATTTTGTGTTTGATTGGTTTTGTGGGATTTCTTTCCTCTTTTGGATAAGTACACATGCATTTACTTATACAATTCAAAGCAATTTGTATATGCTGAAGTCTTCATAGAAGCAAGCAATTGCAAATGCTAAATTTGTAGCCTTTTATGGCAATGTTTCTTCCATGTCAGAAATAAATTATTAATATCTTCATTTCATGGGTAAATGTTAATGTGGATGAGATAATTCTGATTATGTTGAGAAAGAAGTGGTGAACTCATTTCTCCTCACTGCCCTTCTGATACCTGTTAAACTTCTGTGGATACTAAGCCTATAAAAAAACAATTGTAAAAAACCTTGATGATATTAATACTTTACTGTTCTAGGTCTTGATGTCAAGCTGCTCTCAATGTAGAGCTTGTGATGCTTTGGTTTATGATGAAGAAATCATGGCTGGGTGGACAGCAGATGACTCAAACTTGAACACCACCTGCCCTTTCTGTAAAAGTACCTTCCTACCTTTGCTTAATGTTGAATTTAAAGACCTTCGTGGCTCTGCAAGGTCAGTGCATTTTATAGATACTCCATTTCTGCCTTTGAAGCTGTGCATGGTTGTATTTTTTCACAAGAGGATCTTCGATATCTTTCCCCATCTAGATGTACTAGAAAGAATGATACTGCCTATTCAGTGCTTGTGATTGTAGTGAAGGAAATTTTAAGTTGTGTAAACTATTGAGTTGCATTTTAAAACAGCCAAAACCCAAAGTAGTGGTTGCATTTTTTATCACTTTTTCATTTCATATTTTCTTTGTAAGCATAACTATACAGAAGGTGTAAGTTTTAATTTGTTTTGATGTTAAAACAAAGCCTATGAACTTTAAACTTTATAAAAGCATATTAAGAGGTTTTTAAATCAGCAAAGAATTTTTCCCAAACCAGATTTGCTATCAGCTTTTAGTTCCAGATGCTCCAGCTTATTGTTTCTCCAGTTTAAGCTTCTCTGCTTGCTGTTTTTAACCTCTTTTAGTTGCACTGTGAAAAATTGAACTTAATTTCAAGTTCCCGTTCTCACTGTAGGGGTTATTGCTGTGAAGCAGAGGTTCCACTAGTGTTCTCCAATGCAGAAATTGAACATCTGTATTAACTGTAGAGTGTGTACTTCAGAGACTTGGCAAAGCAAGACGCATTCGTGTTGTCATGTGCTTATAATGGTGTATGATTGTGTAGTCTATAGTGTCACATTACCAGAGCAACTATTTTCAGTGATGTGTCACCTGTTAATACACTGTTGCTGATTTGAAACTGTGACAAACAAAGGTGACTTCTAATGATTTATGTCCAGTGTAGGATATCTTCTTTTGCAGATCAAATCTCTCTATGTGTTAATTTACTCTGCCTGTGTAAGTTGCAGGGGTGAGAGTAGGATGAAATTTATGTCCTGTAGTCAAGTTCTTTAATGTTGTTTCCTTTTTTTGCTACTTTTGAAAAGCAATTGTAGAAAATAATAACTTTATTATTTTATGCTTCTATCTTTATCTTTGTATTTTTCTTCCTCCCTTTCACGTTTAAAATTTAGCTTTTTCCTGAAGCAAAGTACCTCAGGAGATAGTTTACAGAGTGGCACCCTTCCATTAAACACAGATCCTCTGGAGCAGAAACTGTTGACCAGTCCAGCTGTTGCTGACTTGATCAGTTTTTCAGATCACCTGCAGTCCAGCCACACCATAGCTGAAGAAACCAGCTCTGCAGCTGAGAAAGGGTAGGTAAAACAGGATAGTTAGCTCTGTCAGAAATGCATCAGTTCTTCCACACATACAAGGTTGGCTTTTATACCAAATGTGGTGAAGAACTTGAGGATCATCTCTCTCCTTTCTCACCTTTTGCATGTTTTAAGCATGGTTTTATCAGTTTGAAGTGAATTCATTCCACCAAGTGATTAGGTTCTAGAGATACATCTGTAGAAATGAAACTTCATGTCCATCTGCTACTGATCAATATGTAAAACCTCTACTCAGTGTGGTTAAAACTCAGTCACCTTTTAAACTCACACAGAAATTCAAGCATTGCTTTTCCTTTCTTTGTATGTATAATTTCATAAGAAGGACACTGCATTGTGGGGAAAAATAAGTCCATTTGCTGGAACACTTTGCTTGAGGGAAAGTTCTGGGAGCACTCAATACTTTTGCTGAGCTTGTGTTCTATGCCAAACGAAACCTATGTAAAACTGAAACTCTGAAAAGCAATGCCCCTTTTGAAACAGTTGAGGAAAAAAAGCATTAAGGGGAAGGTGTCATGTTGGATGAGGGAAGAACTGAAATAATTCTGCTATGAACTCTGACCTTTTTGCTAGGATTGGTTACATTTTGTTGTAATTGTTTCAGGTTTTTTTAATCATCATTCAGTTTGAAATTCTGGAGTGTTAGTACCTGAGAGTAATGAACTAATGCCTGTGTCAGACAACTAAAACTTATATAAATACAATAGTAGTTAGTCTTAATACACTAAAAATTAAAGGTGGTATTGCTCATATTAACATCTAAATTTTGATGACAATGTGTTTTTAACTAAAGTAAAATTTAGGACTGAAAGTCACCTGTAAATAATCTCTTCTCTCTCTAGACTGTATGGAAGCAGACACTTTCTGTTTCACTTTGTTTTTTCTTCAGACTTGTAGTTGAAGTTGTAATTTTATCCATTATAATTATAAGGAGCACAGAACAAATATTCCCAGGTCTGCAAATGTCTTGATTGCATGTGTTAAATCTGACAAGCCTGAGTTTACTTAAATTAGCTTGCTGGATGGAGTTGACACAATTTTTTTATTATTATTACTTCGGTATGCAATTTTAAATTGCATTCTGCTATATTGTTGTTCTGTTTATGACACTTAGAACATAAAGGGAAGAGGAAGTAAAGATGAGCATAGTCAAAAGAAGATAATCTTCATAGATTGGCAAAACTGTGGATTGTTTTTTTAAGCAAGGTAAAGCTGTACAAGAGCAGTGGTTTTTGTACAGAACTGCAGCACTTTCAGATTCATATCTTAGGTTATACCTAGCTGCTTTTCTGAAGGGATGTGTGTACTGGTCTGAGAGGCATTTTGTTTTGTGTTCCCTAAACAGTGGACTTAACTGGGAAAATACAGTTTCTTATTAATAGAGAAAATTGGTTTGGAATCTTCACTTGGCAGCCTTTTCTCTGCTTCCTTCCTGTTGCCATAGAAATGCTGAAATTTTAGCATATTTTCTTCTAAAATTCACACAGGGATTTGGCAGAAGAACAGACTACAGATCCCACTGCCATGAAGACACATGACAATAATCCACCAAAAAGGGGAGTGTCTTTGACTCGGAGCCACAGTGTGGGAGGTCCACTGCAAAACATTGATCTCTCCCAGAGACCATCTCATGGCATTTCAACTGTTAGTCTTCCAAATAGTTTACAGGAAGCTGTGGTAAGTCTAGAAGCTGTATATTCAGTTGAGAGAAAAATATTGAAGACAATGAACTTAATAATATTCTACTACTAGCATTCTTGCCCATTTGGGGAATGGGAATGGCCAAGTGTATTTTCACTTTCTAACTACTGAAAAAAAATTTTAGTTCAGGTAATCTAAAATTGCTTTTCCAATACTTTGTCAAATGAACAATTCTACTTGATTTGAAATATTATCTCTAACAGAATGAAGCTAGTCTTTATCTTTGTAAAACTGGAAATTCAATAGTAAAGCAACTCTGACAGCTGACTAAACGCAATAGTGCAGCACTTTGCAAGAATGAAAAATTGTTCCATCCTGTGCATTTATTTACACTCCTACTGTATATTCTGCTAGGTTTACCTGTTGAGTGGATGGGAGAAGGTAAGAGGCAGCATTGAGACTCTTACCTTTCTTGTGAAAAAAAGTGTTTCTCCTCTCTCTTAGTACATGTTATTTTCTAGAGGCTGCCTTAACATGTGAAGTCATGATTCAGTTCCATGGCTCATATAATTACTGACATTTCTCTTCAATTTCCATTCCTGCAGGCTTGGTACTGGCTACCAGCTTAGATAGCTTGAAACTGCACAATCAGGAACAAGTTCTAACAAATTAGCATTTTTTTTCTTGTTCACATAATAGAGAAAGCCTAGGTGATTGATCTTTAAAATTAAGAAATGCCCAACAGTCAAAACTGCTGGTGCCTTTAAAGTTACTGTGTGTTCACTAGCTCCAGAGGCTTCTTCCAAGTGTCAAAAGAAACTCTGCAGTGAAGGTTTCCAGGAAAAGTAATCCTGAAAAGTATTTCTGGAAGAAAAATCTTTGATTTAGTAAAAGAGCAAAAGCAAAAAAACCAAACCAAACCAAAACAAAAACTCCACAACAAACAAACAAACAAAGAAAACCGAAAAACCAAAACTTTTTTTTTTTTTTGTGCATATTGTTTTTAGGATCCTTTAATAAAACAACCTAACCCTGCCCCTGTATCTGTACCCTATTTGAGCCCTTTGGTTCTGCACAAGGAGCTTGAATCACTGTTGGAGAATGAGGGAGAGCAAGTAATTCATACATCCAAATTCATCAATCAACACCCCATAATCTTCTGGAACCTAGTCTGGTATTTCCAACGGTTGGATCTGCCCAGCAACTTACCTGGACTCATTCTAACATCTGAACACTGCAATGAGGGAGTGCAGGTAAATGGCTGCCTCGCGTAAGAGCAGCAGGTTTTACAGTGCGTTAGGTCGGGGAGCTTGGTTCAGAACAACTGGGTAAGTAGTTCCTGAATAGCTGAGTTCTTGGAAATTCTTTCTAATACAAGTAGATAGGTTTGTTTTCCCACAAGGATTCTTGAAGGGAGATGTGTGAAAACAGTCTTCAAATCCTAGTCAAGATGGTCTCTTTTAAAAAGCCAGAGAGTAAGATTCACCGAAGAAACTACATATATTTGTGAAGAACTCAAAAATTGTAATATATTGCAATACACAGAGAGTGAGTTATACACTTGAGTTTATGATCTTTAAAGTTACTGGGCAGTATTTTTTGTTTTCTTTCAAGAACAGGTTTTTCTATTCAAACTCCACTGAGTTTCATTAGTACATGACTAGAACAAAAGAATGTAGACCAGATCTATCTTGTGAGTATTTTGCCTTTCTGATTTAAAGGAGTAGATTGAAACCAATATAATTTTTATGTATTGGTACAAACTGAAATTAAATATGTATTTGTACCTGATGCATGCCAAAAAAGTAGTGTTTTCCTATCTACTTCTACACACTTCAACTTTAAAATTCTTTCCCTCAATTTTCAAAAAAACACCCACCTAGAACTGAGAAAAATTTTCCAAGAAATTTAGTTGAAGATGATACTAATGAAATCTAAAGCATCCTGTAAAACCACAGTGCATTAACAGGAAAACAGCAAGATGGGACATATTATCATATAATTATTATTTAAATAGACATGTTAAGTGGTAAGTTTTTCTTGCCTTAATACAATTCTTATTGTATTAGTGATTACAGAGGCACTTAATTTTATAAAATAATTACATGTTTTGTCTTGACTAACATATATTTTTAATGGAAATAAAGAGTTCATATTTGAAGATTCATATGAAGATTCTTTCTGCTTTTTGGGAAAGTCAACATGTAGACATGCATACCAAAATGTTCATCAGGTCAGAAAATATTGCAATATGGTATGATTAGTAGTACAGATCAAGTATGATGTCTGGTGCACGAAAGATATTTCCAGATATATACTGATAAATGCTTTCTTGAGATGCCTGTAGAAAATGAAATGGTCTTCATAAAAAAGGTAATTAAATGTTGCAGTACTTGTGACTGCTGTGGTTGAGTGCAGTTTACTGTAGAAGATAACATCTGCTCCTGTTAGATTCAAGTTAAATAAAGTTCACCTTCTCTGTTTGCAAAAAAAATAAAAGAGCAGGATTTTAAAATAATGTTACACTGTAGTGGTGTTTTTAAAATGTATTTCCTTTCCTCATGTGTTTTAGCTTCCTTTGACATCCCTTGCTCAAGACAGCAAGCTAGTATACATCCATCTTCTATGGGACAATATCAACCTCCACCAAGAGCCAGGGGAGCCCCTATATATATCTTGGAGAAATCTCAGTAAGTAAAGCAAATAGAGGGAAAAGAGACTATGGAAGGAAACCATTGGTTTTTTGTGGCTGAAGTGTACACAGCCCATCAGTTTGCAGTACTTTTTAGTATGTGAAGCGTCTTCAATCCCTTAGGTACTTCACATAGTCTGGGTATCAAATGAGCAGTGAAACTGAATTTGATCTGCTCATCACATCATACACTTACAGGATGGGAGGAATTGCTGATTGCTCAAGATGTGGTGCTAAATAAGCCTGACTTGATTCAAATGTTTCACTGCATTACTTGATAATAGCTATGCAGGCATGTACAAGAAGGCTATATTACAAAAAAGTATCTTTTATTTCTGTAAATTAATGAAACATCACTAGTCCCTTTAATAGATAGGTACATTTGGAACCCCTCTTGACTGTAAACAAGTAAGAAGGAAAGCCTTGTATAGCATAAAAACAGGCAGACTGGTTATAAGAGCTTAAGGATTTCCTTACTTCTGATCATCAAAAAAACTTTGTTGACCTAAACCTTCTAAATCCATATTTTAACTTTTGAAAATGATGCTGAAAACTATGTTGTGTGCTAATTTTGGTTCTAAGGAATTAAAAGGGGTTTGCTGAAATGTCCTAAAAATAAAAAAGAAATGTCCTAAAAATAAAGAGACTGATCAGAAGATTACAGTCAAGAGCACAGAACAAGATGTGTTATTTCCCTCAGATTCTACAGAGCATATTGATGTAACCATTATAGGTGAAAAACATCCCCAAATCATCTAGCCATGAATGAAGATGCTTAAATACATATATATATAGATAGATAGATAGATAGATAGATAGATAGATAGATAGATAGATAGATAGATAGATATATAGATATATAGATATAGGCCATATAGCAGTGTCAGAAAATATTCTGAAAACACAAAGTTCTATTTGTAAAGCATCATATATGTCAATTTTATGAAAACATCATGTTGTTGTGGTGAAGCTTACTAGGCTTCGTCTGCAATTCATTTACACACCATGTACTCACTGCCTAATCTGTGAACTTATTTCTGTGCAAGTACATGGACTTTTTATTCCCATTGTCTTCCAGAAAATAGTAGTTCAGTGTTATTCTGAATGTGGCATTTTAAGTAACAAATCGTGATGGTAAATGTCTTGTTCATTTTCATTCCTGGTTGATTCAGCTGTGCATTATCTTTCAGTATGTGTCCCAAAGCTGTCAGTTAATTGTAGGTCGCTTTTAAGAAGGGCTTTGATAAGAAAATTTTATTTGCTAAGAAAAGTGGCACTTCCATTTTATTTCTTTTCCCTTGTGTAACAATAATGTTGTTGGAGTGAACCCTATTTTTAAGTTCAGCAATAAAACTGAGCTAACCAGACATCACAGGCAACATGCTTGATACTCTTCAGTCTCTTGTATTTCTCTGTCATGTGAAACCTCTTGTACATGGATACTTGATGCATCCTGCAACTTCTGGGTAAAGTTACCTTTGAGTGAAGACTATAAGCAGACAAGGTCCTTCCATTATAACAAACCTATGTAGATTGAGTAGAAGTTCTCTGTGTATCTCTCTTTTGGAAATACTTCTGCTTATTAAAGTGAAAATAAATTTTTACTGCTGTAATAGTCTGTACGGTTCCACTTCCCAGATTCTTCTGAAAAGAAACCCTCCACACTGGCAGAAGATCAGCAGGCAACAAACACTTTGTTAGAGAACATCAAACTAAGTATTCAACACAATGATGTTATTAAGCCAATCAACCTCCTCCTGCAGAAAGTTAAACCAGATGTGAAACGACAGAGGTAAAGGCATAATCTCTTCTTAGTTCCTCCCCACTAAAAATTAAATAAGATCAGACTGTATACATTTCATACTGATAATTTCATAAGGATCTCTGGGGAAGATTCAGTTTCATTTGTGCCCACCAAAAACCATGTGTATTTTTTTATGCCTTTGTTTACAAACAGATGCACTCCATATTCAGATGCATAGTCCATCCAGATCAAATGGGTGAATGTGATACTTTAATAAAAATGGACATTTTACAATGAGTAAGAAAAATGCAGGTATTAATTTCACAGATTTTGATGTTGTTCCAGATCTAGCAAATTGATAAATACAAGTGTACAGCATCCTGTTGCAGTGTGTGGAATATTCTCCCTAGTTATATCTTCTGAAATTTTAGCAGCCTGGAGTGCTGGCAATGAAAAGTGGACGTAGTGTAAGCCACAAAGAGAGGGAGATATGTAAATAATTACTGTCCTTTGTAACCTGCACTGTAGTTCAAGGAAGGCTTTGTACAAAAGCACAGACTCTGAAGTAAATTACACCAGATACAAGGTGTTTTTGAAGTCTGTCATGATAGGTCATCTTTATTTCTGTGTTTTGTAGTTACTAAAAAGAAACAGAAACTGATCTGCATCTTTATCTAGAGAAACATCTTTATGAACTTCCACTAGGGGTAAAAAAATCTGATTATTTAATGACATCTATTTCTGAGATTGGCCATGAAATTCTGAAATAAAAAACAAAACTATGGGTGATCTGAAAGAAATCTTCACCTAAACATTGCTTCATGGTCAGGCAGGAATGAATTAATAATAAATAACAAAGTGATGGTTAATTTAGTATTTCTTGTTTGTTAGGCATTGCAATGGCAGAGGATTTTTTCATAGAAAAAGTAACTACTAGGATTTGGCAATAATATGGCTTTCTGCATCAAGTAAAAGTATTCAGACATTAGTAAACCTTAAGCTAGTAGTCCTGTAGATTGGTCACTTTCTTCACAAGCAAGGTTACCAGAACAGTTGCAGAAAGTACATAATGGCAGTCTTCAATATTGACTTTGTAAACAGCATAGTTGATTCTTTCATTAACTCATCCTTCAAAATATTCCCCTAGGAGTTTTTACAGGGAAATTCTTTTCCTGTCTCTGGTGTCTCTTGGAAGAGAAAACATTGACATGGGTAAGTAAAAAATACTGTGAAATGTATAGTCCCTGTGGATATTTTACATGAAAGCTAGTGTATAAAATCTGTTTCTAAGATTCAGTTATGTTTTATGAAAAATTCTCTACTGTCAGTCTTTAGGTGTTGCTTTTATGTAAATGTAATTCAGATGGAACCATTAATTTGGACCAGTAATGAGTCCCTTTAAACAAAGAGTATTTTAAGAGCTTGAAGTTTTAATTCTTCATGTCTGAAAGCATTCTGTCTTGTCCATCCTTCTCCAGCCCACACATCAGACCTGTGTTATTTAAACACCTGATTTCCCACCCTCTCCTGATCTCTGCTGTCTTGTCTTCTATTTGGTACTACACAATCCAAGTGACTCCCTTATGGAATGTGATGGGGGAATTGGGAACAGGCAAATTGAACTGTGAAAGAAGCAATGAAGGGCATTCACTGTGATGTGTTGTGGTGCCACACCATCTTATGGAGATGCTTCTCAGATCCTCTTGAAAGATGCATTTTGCAAAAATAAATATTTAGCATCTAGTTAACAAAGAGAATTTTGTTACTATATAAAAATCACCAAAAGCATTTATAGGAACAGTAGTGTGCATTTTACAGTGTTTTTAAGTAACCTCAGCTGTGCTTTTTCTATTTCAGAGGTCTTTGATAGTGAATACAGACTTGCACTTAAGAAACTACCAAAGGAAGTTCTTGAAAAGATGCAGAGAATAGATGTTCCACCAAGCAGCAGGGTTGAGTGTTGCAGGAAGTGCTTTGGAGCACCTTTAATATAAAAACAAGGAAGATGCACACCAAACTGTGGAGAGACGAAAGCAGAGGTGAACAAACCGAGGAGCGTGGTGATGACTTATACACTTTTCAGTCTCAAATGGTGTTAATTGAGCAATTTGTCAAACCAGTTTCATTGAGCTGCAATATATATTCCTCTCATTCATCTCATAGGCACATTCTAAAGTATGTCAAAATGTTTTAAAATTATGAATTTGTTTCAATGGTTAATCTGTGTTTCCCCTAAATATATGCTTTAATTTCCTCAAAATTTTCCTCCACAATATCAAGTTGTTAAAAAAGCTGATGACGAAACAGCAGTCTATAGTTGGTGACTTTCTTAAGGGCCACCAATATTGGTGTATTTTAATGCAGTACTTTTCCAGTGCTCAGATTCTTCAATGCTTCTTTAAAATTACCTTTATCTAGACAGGGATCCTTTTGTTAGTGTGTGGTATGGTTGTATGAATGTAAATATTTGAAACCTTGGATTGGAAGCTGCAACGCAGTTACTCAGATCACAGTACCTTAAACTGCTACCCTTCTCCTGACTCTTGTCAGTATTCTGAATTACCTTTGCTGACCTTTTCAAAATGTGTGTCTACAGCTGTGAGAAAACAGAGACTTGCACTCAACTTTCCTGTATTCTCTATCTGATAAACTATAAGGTCCTGTACTGGCTGCTTTCTCCAAAGAAGGATAGGCTTCAACACAAAGCAGCTCAGAAATGGATGGCTTCCAAAAAAATCATGTTGGGAGCTCAAATGGTATTGGAATACACACAAGAAATGTCAACAGCTACTGCCTGAAAAAAAACTATGCTTTATACTCTTTGCATGTGTGCTTAAGAGGGGTCTTCCTCAAATTCTTTATCACCCTCTTCCTTGGTTTCATACTAGCCTGTGGGTTAATATTTTTGCACTGATAGTCCAGATTCAATATTTCAATTAAGATGTATTTATAAATGTATCTTCAAGATGTATATTAGCAGAAATGACGTGCTTATGTTCATGATCTGAAAAGATGTATTGCTTCTCGAAGATAAGACACTTCCTCACCTGACATATTTAATTGACTGCAGTAGTCATAGTCTTGGCAAGAAGAGCTTGGATACTGGTCAACAGTTTAAGTGTTTCTGTTACTTGAAGAATATGATAAGATTTATTCCAGGTTTTTGCTGAAAGTTAGTGGTGTGGCTTTTACAATGGAGTAATTCATAGAGAAGAAGAGATATTTGTAGCATGTAAAAGGAGCATAGCTTAAAATATTACTTGCATCTGGATATGAATGTATTTACTTGATACTACTTTTAAAAATTTTCATTCTTCATAATGATGAGGGATGAAGATCTGTCTGGAACAATTTTTTACATGAAACAATAAAACAAATTTTTTTTTCATGAGGTGAAAACAAGGGATTTGCACTATTTATGACAAAATATATTTATGTCATAGACTGATAATATGGCTCATATGATGCCTTGTATTTTGTCTAAAAGTGCTGATCCTACGTTAACATGGGGATATTACCTGGACAGATTCTCTCCTGATAAAACTATTGTGCTTTCTCAACAACTAAAACAAGAAAGCACACAATGATATATATTTTTTTTAAAATTCTTTATTCTTTGGGTTTATGCATAGTTGCTTGCTAATATCTGACTTACATAACAATTAAATAACAGTCCTTGATTCTTCATTTTTTCCTCTCTTTTCCAGTTAGATAATCGACATGGTTCCATACTTCTAAAATTAAAGTCTGTCTAAAGCATTGGTCCAAACAACTTAATATTTCTACAAATCAAAGCCAGCAAATTTTTCTGTAAAACTCTACATTATTTTTCAACAGACAGCTACATAAAAACTATTTTTGAGTGTTAAATGGACAAACCACATGATTATGTGATGCAACTTGCAATTAATCAGGTTTCAGTTACCCTTAAATTCTCCCAGCTCATTAAATGTCGAGGAAAATCTGTCTGGAGAGTACTGTTTTAGATATGTGACATCCAAACAGTTTTAAAACATAGTAAATAATATTATTATTAACTAGTTTCTGTAAACACGTCATCTTCATTTCCAAACAACTTTCTCATCTGTTGCTGATAATATCGATTAATAAGTTCATAGTGTTGCAAAGACAGCAAAGCAGATTGTGTCACAACATCTATTGTGTTACTTGCTAAACCTTTCCCAGCTATATACACTAAACAAACAAAAAAAACCCCAACAGAAGCAAAGCCAGAGGAGAAAAGGGCAGATGCAGAATTGAACTTGCTTTGATTTGCTCTTGCATATTGGCATTTTTGTACACTACAAATGAACCTGGTGTAGGTACTTGGATTTAACCTACACCTGGTGTAGGCACTTGGATTTCAGAGTGGGAGAAGTCCTGCATGTAGCTACTTGAAATCTTGAATCTGCAAATTGGAATTGATTCTTTGATATAGAATAAAAAAGGAAGAACTTATCCTTTCTATATAAGTTTTTAGTGCTTAGGTTTTAGAGTAGCTAACTAATCAGTTGGGTATTTGATGTAATCCATAGCTCAGATGAAAAGGGACACCTCTGAAAGCAGTTTGTTTTCATCTCAGATGCTTTTTTTGGGGGAAAAAGTGAGTTTCACAAAATCTGGCCAAAAATAACCAGGGAAAAGTTTTGGAAGTGTTTTGTGAATGCATTGCAAACACTTTTTGTTCTTCTGAACATTAGGCACTACAGGCACACCTCTGCAGTTTAGTTGACAGGATGAACTTCTTGTGCTACATGGGGATGACGTAATTACATACAAATGCTTCTAACTTGTTTGACACCCAGCTCCTAGGAATCCAAATTTATCTAAATCCATAAAGCATTACTGATCTGAGCAAAGTGTTGTGAAGGAAGGATGAGGATAAGCTGGATTTTGGTTCTGTTTTTAGGTCAATATAAGCAGAAGAGCAGTAGCATTTTGCTCACTTGTGAAACTCTTGTCTCCACATACTTTTTCTAGTATCTCAACAGCCAGTGGTCAGGAGATGATTCTTTTGTGTCTATTTATTTATGTGTCTAATTCCCAAGAACCTGAAGAAAACATTTGCCAATCAGCATTTACTTCAAAATACGCAATGTGTGCACAAAATGAGGGTGTAAAAAAACCTGAGAACAGAAGTGGATGCAAACAATACATTTCAGGTATGCCCAAGAACTTAGAAAGTTTGTATTGGAAGAACAGTTTTCAAAGAGAAGCTTCCTAGAATTGTTTCCCTAAGGATGTTGAACTGCAGCCTGTTGTGCTAAGGTACTATCTTAGACCTTTCACCCAGCTATAAATCAGTTACGTATGCAGCTTGTGTGCTCACATGAGAAGAGCTGGTTTTTTTGTGGAGTTAAAATAACAAATGAGGTCTTAAATGTTTAAAATCAGGATTTTTATGTCACAGAGTTTTTCTTTATTATTTATTCTGGCAGATCACCAAAACCTAAAGATTTTGAAAACCCTTTAGGCCTAGGAGACTGACGTGGCTGCAGTGTTGGCACAGTAACTGGTATCAGCTTTTACATGTTACTAGAAGCATTTGTATGTTACTTACAATCATATCCTGTCTTCACATTTTATATAATTCAAGTTTAGATAAAACAATTATAATGGAAAGTTTTACTTACTATATGTGTTTCAAACTAAATTAATTTTGCAAGTAACTTAGTCTTTTTCCTGGTGGAATTTCATATTGGTTAAGTTCAAGCTACATTGCACTTGTGAATGAGTAATATTCTATTTTAACTGTGAATTAATGGCTTTTTGTATTGCTGCATCTAAAGGAATATATCTTTCATTAAGTTTACTGCTTTCCTTGAATAACTGCAACATAGGGGATATTTTCAAAATGTATATTAAATTAGATAATAGAAATTATATTTTTAAAACAAATTGTTAAAATGTAAGGAACTGAAGAATCCACTCAGTAGTTTTCTCTTTTCAAAACTCTTAATTCAGCCATTATTTCAATACAGATAACTCCTATTTTATTAACAGTAAGCAGGTAATCTTATTCACATAATTTGTATATTTTCAACAAAAGGGTTCTTTCTTTCTTTCATCTAGTAAAAATCTTAAAATACATTCTGTATAGCAGCTTTTCACTAAGGATCTTTTTAAAAACAAACACCCATTTAACTTGCAAGTGTTGAAACTGAGTGGTTGAATTGGGCTCTAGTTCTGTACTCTCCCGTGCTGTGTATCGTGATGCATACGTGAGAGGATAGGATGGCGTTTTTATTTGTTCTTTCAGTCTGCATCAACCAATGGTGCAAATAAAAGGGATTGTTTGCTGTTGTTTAGAAGCACATTAAACTCCTATTAGGAGCTTAAAATAAATTGTATTGTAACAAGGATTAAATGATGTAGTATGAATAAATTAAGAATCTGTTAAGTGAGCTGGGAAGCTTAATGCAATAAAATTTGCACTGGTTTAGGGACTGTTTTGAACTGTTGAAAAATGGCATCCATTTACTGTGCTTTGATTAACAATTGTTTCTCTGTAATATTTTTGTACATTTGACAAAAATTTGATTTTAAAAGGGCACTCTATATCCCGAATTCTGTATAGATATTCTAGACTAAGAAACAATTTTTAATGTTGTTCCCAGAATAAAATATATATGCATCCTGTGTAAAATTGTGCCATTGTTCAGCTTTTTTCACCACTGGAATTTACATGACTGACACAATTTAAGTGCAAATTCAGCCTACAGTTGGGCAAAAGACTTTTCACTGTCTTTTTGGGTAATTATTTCATAGTACCTCCATGGCTTCTGAATGGTGAGAAAGAGCAGAGGCAGGGGGGAGAGGTAAATAAAAAATGGGATTCACTTGTGGAGATGTGGCTTCTAGAGAGGATGGCTCTGTGGTGCCTTCAGCAAGCCCTGGGCATCAGTAGAGGTAAAAGCAGCTGAAAAACAGGCTCAGTGTGACAGAAATCTGTAAAGCTCCTGTATGTAGGAAAAGCATGGTACCTGGCTTCCTGAGGACAGCTGGTGCTCTCTGCAGCATATTTGTGGCTTTACTTGGGAGAAAGTACTTACTTTATTACTTACTTTCCCAGGAGTTCTAGTTTCTCAATGGCTTTGTATTTCACCTGATGCATCCTAGGTTGAAAAAACATTGGTGGACCTCTTGACTCATAACACAGTTGCAGGTTACATGTAGTGTCTAGAGGATTTTTTGAGGGATTTCTTGGTTTGTTTTCTTTATGGGCAGGGATAGGAGTGAGGCTGAGATGAAATTTAAGGAGTAGAAACTGGCAGTGCCTCAGGCCTTCATCTTCTCAACTGAGTATCTTTCAAACCCCCTCGTGTACGGTAGTCAGTTCATTAATCCGATAGTAACAGTCGGAATACCAGACCCTAAAGGCCCTTCTTGCTGATGAGACTGATGTGCATAGCACAGATTGATATCCTGTGGAGAAGATAAGTAAGAAAACCGTATTTCCAGACCTATTTTTAAATATGGAGCTGAGGAACAGTTTAGTATTTTGGACTTGAGTATCTTGTAAGCATCACACTGACTTTGTTTTCCTACGACTGCTTTTGTCACTAATGTCTTTTCAGTAATGCTGCTTGCTAAGAATGTTACCCTATCCTTTCATTTCCTGCCCATCTCACAGACAACTTCCATCTAGTCTGTATTTAACATTTATCTAGAGGAGGAGGCTATGGGGAAAAGCATCAAAGGTCCAGCTAAACAATACTGCTCTTTCTTGACACGCTATTTTTCTGTTGCACTTACCAATTTGATAAAGTCATACTGAGTTTTCGCAGTCACCTATTTTCAACATGGCTTCAGGTCATGGATGACTCATAGGTGATCAGTATGTTTTACTGAGGCTGGCAGGCTGTGTCAAATGGGCCCCCCAAGGGATTACTGCTGGGATACTTGTAACATCTTCACGAATGACACAGCAAAGGGACCTAAAAGCACCCTCAACACATTTGGTGTGTCACTAAACCGATGTCAATCGAGGCCACCTTTCACAGACCTCAACAGGCCAGATACACCTGCAAGCCTGAGACTGCAGAAGGAAACAGCAGATGAACTACAGCTAAGGCAGCTCCAGGAAACAAGCGAGGGAGAAGAGTGTAGGATTTTTTGCTATTGGTGATAAGGCCATGTATTTCCTGGCTCTGACAAGGCCACACATCCTCAAAGCTTGTATCAAGAACCAGGACCGCACTGATGTTTTTCACACACTGGGTATTATTCGCACTGCTTCAAAGACACACATGGCTTATACAGCAGAACAGCTCATACAGAATAGCCTGTACCAGACTACCTAGTAGTAGCCAGTTCAGAACGTTCTTGTCCAGGACACACCTGAGTTCTTGCTCACCCTGACCAGAGTTAAGGACCTCTTAGCTGTGTGCAAGTCCATTTTACTAGGATTAAGAGGCTAGACAGTGTTATTTCCCCTCTGCAGATTGTAGTTCTCAGCATTGTGAATTCAGCAAGTGCTACTCTCTCTTACCTGTATTTTCTCTATGTTAACTTTTGGAGCTGAGACTAACGTGGAGTAAAAAGGGACCTTTTTATTTAGTGAAGCTCAGGTTTAACAGGGTCTGTGGATCTTCACTATTAAACTGCAGGCACTGAACACCATCTCCATAAAAAAAAACCAAAACATTGTAAAATGCTACCCTTTTAAAATTTTATTGAACCAGCCAGCATTATTTAACTCATGCATAACCACAATTACTAGCCCTCAACCTTTTCTGGTTAGTTGCCCTTCATGAACAGTCTGAGTTAAGCTATGGAAGATGGCTTAAAGCTTAGTAACTACTTTGGCCAAGTCTCTTGGTCCAAGAATCCACTGCACACAAGTGCTTCATGGCAAACACTGTCCTTGTCAGAGATGGGTATCCCATTATCCTAATACAAACCTGAACTTCAAGGACTACAAGTCTGATCCTTCCCTGCCCACCCTAATGTACTGCCAGCAGCTCTTGTCTTCTGCAACTTTTTTTGTGTCCAGATTTTTCATCTGAAGCATTAAAATCTGCTTCTACTCTGGTGGGACCCTAACTTACAATAAAAATCTTCCCAACTTCTTAGGTTGTGGTGAAGTTTCATTTACTAGAAAGAGAAACACCTGCCTCAACAAAAATAGAACTGCATCCAAATTACTATTTTAAGAACCAAGACAATTTATTTAGCTGCAGACCATTTAAACATCCAACACATGTATTTTTAACTGAGTTAAATTCCCACTGTCCTCACCCAGTACATGCTGAGTACATTAAGGCTACTGTAGTTTTTAATCCAAGTCAGATTTTCAAGTCAGACCTTTTAAAAGGTGCCTTCTCATACTCCATACAAATTTCAAGAGCAACACCAGGGATCCTCAAAGGACTAGCAACCAATAAAGCTTTTTACTAAGAGCATGGTTCCAGAAGCTCCAAGAACTCTGGCAGGTTTGTGGCCACTTCCCTGGGGAACCTTTTTCAGTGAGCATCTGAATTGCACTTAATTCTGCCAAGAATCGGCTGAAGATTTAAAGTTTTACTGATGTTATATTCAGTATCAAAAGTGACACAATATTCTCCTAAGAGAACTGCAGCATGACCAATGTTTGCGGCTCCAGTTTGACGTACATGATGCAGTTAGTCTGAACTCCTGTTTAAGAAATTGCCAGTAACAACATGCACTACAAAGTCTCATACTGGAAGTTCGCCACCAAAGGAGTTTATTGGTAATTCAATGTACAACGTCTTTTTAGTATCAGGTACAACATCTTTACTTCTGACTTGATTCAGACTTGGATGTGGAAGCTCTCAAAGAAGAAAGCCGGCGCCTCTTGGCAATCTGCTCCTGGCGTTTCTCCTTGGCTTCCTGAAAGGCACAGAGTATGGAGATGTATCAAGCACTTCAACCTGATGCAGAGTTCTCAATACACCAAAGGTGCATTTCTCTGTTTCTATCTGGAAGTCATGAAATTCAGGAAGCACCGTGCCAAATACTCCAACTGTACTGCTTACAGAACTGCTTCAGCAGTCACTGCAGTTTTAGGAGCAAGGGAAAACACATGTTAACAAGCACATTCTTGCCAACTTAGCATCCATCCAGATCAACTGCTGAATCCCATTTTGCCACACAACCACTCAAATGCTTGTGCCGTCTTTAAGTTAAACCAAAATTCATTTGAACTAAAATAGCTAGGGAAAAAAATATCCTTGGAGGCCAGAACTGTTTAGTTTCTTTAAAGAAAGTTCTCAAATTAGTGGACCTAATAGATTAATCTCTATTGCTCTATGACTCACAGAAACACGAAAGAGGTTCAAAAAACCCCAACTGACCAGGTATGTTTATACTCACGTATGGGCACTTACATTCAAAATGAGCAGAAGAACAGAGAGCAGCTCTGTTCTTTGTTTGGCATACACTCCCGTCTGCCAAATTCCTTGATTCTGGGAGATGAGTTATATTCTATACAACTGAGCTAAAATAGCAAACATACCTTCATCCTCTTGGCCAGCAGCTTTGCATACTCTGCAGCTTCCTCCTTGTTCTTTTGAGTGCGCTGCTTCTTCAGGGCAATACGCCTGCGCTTATGCTGCAGCACTCTAGGAGTCACCAGTCGCTGGATCTTAGGAGCCTTCGTTCTGGGTTTCTTGCCTAAAAATCATTACAGATGAGCTGAAGTGGCAGAGTGCCTTCAGGTCACAGGCCTTATCTAGACAACTTAAGTGTAAGTTTGATTTATTGTTAAGGTAACACTATGTAGTGTGCTACATGTTACACCAGCTACAGTCCAACATCTTCACAGACTGTACAGGAAAAATGATCAATTATCACCAGATGCAGCATTAACAACATACTGACTGAATGCTAATAATTTGTTATGAGAAATGAAATGTAAATTCCTAGCTTCTCAGCAGGCCTGTCTCTTGTAACTCCCCCTAGCCAAGATTTTTTAGTAACAAAGGAGTTCATTACATAGCTTCCAGAGCAAGCCACCGTTTCCAGCATTAAAAAGCCATGTACAATTTTACTTAGGTTTGACATTGTTTATCCCAACAGACCTACACAATGAGCAAACAAAACAGGCTACTGTAGTACATCTGTAAAATACAATACACATCTGTAAAATAAAATTTCACTAAGCAATCCTGACAGACTTTAGCAGTCATATACCAGTCTGATGTCCACCAGGATCATATTCTTTAATGGAGAAGAACATTTCCTACAATGTGTTCTTTTCCCAAACAAACTTAGCAGTATTCAAGTCTTATCATAGTCTTCAAAGAAACACACTTTTTTACCCTAATCAAAAGCAGAAAAAAAATAAAATTAAAACCTTACACTGCAAGAGACATAGTAAGCAGAGCAGTGCCCTGCCAAAGAACCTCATTTTAGACTGCCAGCCATAAGCAGGGAGAAAAACATCTTAGCATCTCTCTACACTGCCTTTTCCTCCACAACATAAAAGTTTTAACAATATCCCACCTTGTATTTAACTTTATTAGTAACTACTTCTGGCTTATTCTTAAGAGACACTAGTAAAAATTACTCCAGATCTGGAGTATCTGGACATTTAAGAACAAACTGTAACAAAACACGGCAGAAAGTGAAGGAAACAAGGCAACCAAGAAACTCATACTTTTTTCCCCAAAACTTACAGCTGAC